GAAAGCTAATATCTCGATGTCAACTAATTATTTTCATGCTTGGATATAAATCTGCGTTTAATTACAGACCAAGTCATGTTTATGCAAGTATCTAACTTTTCTATGTGGTTAATTAGCAGAGTCTTATGTAAGTCTATAATTTTGTGTTTAAACATTTTTAAAATTACGTTATACACGCTTTCAATCCAATCATCATAACAATGTCGAGCGATAAGCGTCTGATGTCGGAGTGATTCATTCGCCTCTGCGTGTGCATCGCCTGAAGCATTCAGCTGCGTTGCTCCCAGCTTCATAGCAACATCATCGTCTGCGCACCTGTTTGGATGTACTTGGAGCAGACAGAAATAGCCCAGCTTCGTTTGTTTTCACCGCGTAGTGTGTGCTAACTGACACGTAAAATGACGGAAAAACATCGGTACGTATGTTCTTTACCTCCGTATGGAAACTATGCGAAACAAATACATAGGGCAATTACTAAGAAATAGTGCCTAGAATTACAATAAAATTAAAAAATGAAAACTTAAACGATCACATGCGTAATGTAGCAGTTTTACCTAACATAACATATTGCTTTGATGATCTAGTTGGTGTAGCAACAAAACTATCACGTTTCTACGATTCCCGAGTTTGATTTCCGTCCGCATGTACTTGTATATTTATATAGTATGCAGGATTGCAATTTCACGTTTTTAACCAGTCTGGTGGAATTTATTCTACAAATAATAAATAATTATGTTTATATTATATGAAACAAGGCTTACCTTGTTTCATAAAACAAAGCTAACCCAAACTAGCTTAAAGTAGTACTAGAGTAAAGAGTACGTTTTGTGTTTGTTGAAAACTTGAATTTATGTCAAATAGGGCTTAAAAGGTAAGACTAAAGCCTGCCATTTCTGACATCAGTATTATAAAATTGGTTACTTTATTTATATACAAATTTTAATAAGAACCCAATTAGTAAATATATTGGATTTTCAATTTTAATTTTATCAAAATGCGTATAGAAGAGGGTAGAAATATTTCTTTTAGAGAACTGTGAACACTATCTGTTTTTAAAGAACATTCTTCTTACCCTTTTGAGTGGTTAAATCAAAGATATAAGTTCCCATGTTAATTTCTCTAGGAGATCCATGTGGATGAAGTCCTAAGATTAAGCTAGTCTCTTAATAAAAATACCATCTAGTAGATCTATAAAAATCGCTAAAAATAAAAAAAATAAACAATTCACGTTTCATGAAAATATTTTGTATATAGCTCAGCTATTTAAATGTGAAATTGAAAAGTTGTTTATATTCAATAAAATGAAAATCTATCATAAGAGAGTATTTGCGTGAGTAACGTTCAATGTAGATGTCGGAAAAGTGTGCTACATTTGGTCTACGGATACAGCGAACGGAGAGCCGAGATCAACAACCTTAACGAAATGAAAATGAGCAACTATAGAGTGGATAGTGCGTGATGTGTTCGCTTGTAATTTATCTTTGCCCGTTTCGCGGCCAACATACAAAAATAGGACGATGTATGTTATAAAATTCATGTCGACGATATAGAAGAAGGCGGCTTCATTCGCGATCTGGAAGCCGCGGCTGCAAGAGAGTTTCGCAACGCTTGCCCGTTTAAGTTCAAGGACTGCAGTGTCAGTGTTTTTGTCAGGTAAGAATCTATTCTCGGTTGCTGTCGTAAATATTCCTACTAAAAATACCGCTCAATGTCCACGGACAGTACTTGCAGACGTACTTAAAAACATACCGCGATATGTTCCAAAAAGAGACGAGCATAGAGAATTTTCTCGAATTTTCCTATAAACATAACAGAGAGCGGCCGACTTCCGAACGTGGGTTAATTCAACGTATTCGCACATTACATTTATCGGGTGTGTGATGTGAGCTTTTGGCGTTTTTCACGATCCGAACGTTGCAGGTGAGCGGAGCTTCCCGCGATAGCAGCGTGGGCAGTGCTCTCCCGCCTCAGTTACAGACCGGCCACCGAGCCGCTCGCACGACCTGACCGCCGCACAAGGTACCCAACGCTAAAACGCTTCAAATAACGCTCCACTAATGCACATGTATGTCGTACTCCCATTCGCATCTCACCTGCCGACAGACTACTAACTTTAAGCGACAACGTGTACAGTCACGGAAATATCGCAATGACTTAACGCCACCAAAATAGCTCGCGCATTCGCGACGCTGTTTGCGAGCGTCGACGTTACTGTTGCATGATCTTGGAAAACGAGATGGATGAGAGCAAAATTAACAAAAACGCACCCTAAAATTACGCACTTGTATATAAATAAACGTATGCGAAATGCGTCTCATGCGTTTCTCATGCATCACCAGAGACTGTAACCAAAAAACTATTTTCGTCAACCGTTTAACGTGGACAGTGTGGCTAGATTATCGTCGACCTTGATGACGGCATTGTCAACCTTGTTAGTTAAAGATCTTTATCGGCCTCACTGTACTTCTGGAAACTATTTCTACATCGATGTTCTGGCGATAACGGATAGTTTCCCGTTGGTAAAATAAGCTTTGGAGAAAATTGGCTAAAATCATCGAATTCATCCACTCTAACACAATACTGTAACAGCTTCTTAGATAAATTACTGTGAATATATCTCTGAGTAGGTAAACAGTAAATATGTCCCTTTTCGTGCAATCAATTTTGTTACAATTTAAGCGTTCAAATAATATTCAACAATAATTTCATTGTAGATCTAGCAAGTGGTCGCTGAAGGTAAAATATCGAAAATTGCCAGTGACAAACAATTAAAATTATTAGTTGACTATTATAATACTACAAAAAAATATACTAGTTGTTTCAAGGCATTCAAAATATTAAAATAGCAACAAATTATTTCTCTTTTCCTTCTGTTAGTCTTATCTTTTGAAGATTGCGAGTGGCAAATTTTTAGCACACCCACGCATCTACTTTTATAAACCTTGCGCGCTCGAAATGCATAAAAAAACAACTGTGGTATCTTAGATACCATTATTTAAAAAAATCGTCTAGATATTATGTTACACAAACATTTTTAAATTTGGTCTGTTTTGGCGTTTCGTTTAAATTTTCACATACTAGCCGAAATAATTAGTTAGGCTTTTTGATCTTAAATATATCATAACGATGCTCCGGTTCTAAATGCTCGATTATTAACTTTATTTTATTCTATTATGGCATCATTGAATACTTTCCATATATAAGAATGGGAAATGTAAATAAATACAGGCTGGTTTAACTTAAAACCTACGACTCGAACGTTCCGATTTAGAAAAAAAAAACAAACTATTAATCCGACGCACCACCTTGAAATGGCGAACACGGACGCAATTGAGTGGCTGTGATAAACAGACATACTTCCCCACAATGCAGCACATGGGCGTCCAATTCTAGAGCCGCGACGATCCTGAGACGCCTTCCGCCTACATTTCGCCAGTAACGAGTCCCACGCAAATAGATCTCGTATCAATTTCCTCGCCGACGAATAAATTTCCCTCTGTTCACGACGAATTTTTTGTTTCTTCGGCCGCTAAGATAATTAAGAAGACAATAACGCCTCAATCAATCGTCAGTCACTTGAGCACGTGTTTCCCCTTGATACGCTTGTAAACATACGTACCGCCCCGGACGATAATCTCGCAATAAGAAGTATCTAATTACACGTATTAATGATCGTGTCGTTTTACCATCATGTAATTTGCTAAGTAACAAAGGATCTTATTTCTGCTCCAAATTATAGTATACCATGATTGTTTTACATTCCTATTATTAACCAAAGTACGTATTAATTTGTAACGTTACGGTTAATACTATATATTATGTATTGTGTATTTCTATTTATAGATTCACCAGCCATGGTATTGCAGTCACTAACTGCTTATTTAGCAGAATTCCAAAATTAAATTGCTTTCTTCGCTTCACGGGAAGGAAATTTAACAAATAAATAAAATTTAATAGGTTTTGATTCAGTACAATTTGAAACACTCTCATATTCCAATAATTTTGTTATCCTCCACGTCACTTCGGAAGCTAATATTGAAAACTTATTTTCACAAAACTACCTGTCCCCGGCGCATTATTCAGGTGAAATACGGTAGCCGACGCCGTCGGTGCCAGTGCTAATAAAAACGCAATAAGACGGCGAGCATCCCTCTAACCTTGGGGCGCGGATCTTACGATCCCGTAATAAAATTACCTCATGAGGAGGATAGAAATTGACAATCTAATCTTTAACGGCTCCGGGGCACACTCGAAGATTTTCAAGATTATTTACGATACGTCTAGAGTTGACGTAATTTTTCATACAGCAAAATTATACATTTTAAAAAGCCATGATAAGTCAGTGTCCTGATGCTCGCTTTTAATTCAATATACTCTAGCAACCTGAGTTCAATTCCCAGTACCGGCACCGATGTTGAATTGATACATGTAGTTTGAAGTGTTGACTAAGCACGTGCTCAGCGGTAGAATTGAAATAATTAGATTTATTGAAAAAAACGCGCCTTTGCTTTACATTTAAATGATGACCTCTTTAATACTGCACGTCCTACTTTGGAAGGAAGGGGAATGTTGGTGGTTGGAAACAAATTAATAATGCATATTTAGCCGTTAACAAGGTGATGCTTAATAACACATAGCTGTACCATCGTGAAATATATTGGAATACAATACATGCAATAAAAAAGTTAGCTCTTTTTTAATATTAGTATGGTATCGAATAGTTTTTTTTATGTGATAAAGTGGCAAACGAACTGGATGGACATTTGCAACGCCCGTAAAGTTGCAGATGCGTTACCACCTTTAAATAAAGAGACGAAACGCAGAAGCATATCACTCTTCACGCCGGTCTTCGGTGAGGTCATGGTACCCGGACCTGCCCATTCGTGTAACAGCGAACACTACTGCGTGGCTCTACCAAAGTCAAAAGCGTTTTCGCTGTGTAAAGTGTAAATTGTTAAACCGTCCATTCCCCGTTTCAGCGCTGAACGAACGACCCCAAGATGGCCACCGGCCCGAAGATAGTGCACAAGCAGTTCAACTCGCCCATCGGGCTGTACTCACAACAGAACATACAAGAAACACTCAACAAGCATCTGCAGAACCTCGACAACGGCACTGTTGGGTTAGTATTTCTTTAACTTTAAAAATTGGCAGACAAAAAGGCGTGTTAAAGATTGAAATAATTGACTTTTGAGGGGTTCGGGATGGATTATCCAAAGTCACTGACTGATTCACAATTTAGCTCGTTTATTGCACTTTAACCACTTTTAATTTAATGTTTTATACGTTGCACATATTAAACGGTCGAGGCCTGGGCGGAAGAGTCCCTCTCTTCTCTCGCGAACGAAAAGAACATATTTAAAATGAATGAGATGAATGAATAATAAACAAGGCAGTTCATCTAATGTTAAGTGATTACCACTCATAATCGACAACACATTTCGGGTTCCAGATCGACCGCGAACCAATCACACTTACCCTGATGGAGGACCTAGAAAGTAATCGGCACATACGTCGGTTTCATAACGTGACTTTAGCCGTCTTATTATAACGTAAACAATGTCTCACAAAATATTAGGTGTGAATTAAAAACCCGTCTATCACCTTTTTTTAATTATTTTATAATTATGAAGATTATGTTATATAGAGATACAGTGAGTGTAACTTTTACATTTAGGCAACACCCAGAAAATACTTTGTTCTTTGATAGATACTTATATTGGATTGATTCAATACTAATATGCAGAATTGATTCACATATAGCAGTGATTCGGACCTACCTCCGTCTGTTCCAATGAAAGTGTTGACATCTTGGCACCTACACCCTTACGGCGGTAGGGCCATGCAACAGCCTCGGCTGTTGCACGAATGGGCAAGCTCGTCCGGGTAAGTAGCACGACCTCACAGAAGACCCGCGTAAAGTAGAAGTACGACAAATACTTTCGCGTTTCGTCTGGTGAGTGAGGTAGCCGGAGCCCAATTTTCAAAAGGTTGTTAACGCATCTGTAAACCTCGGGTGTAGCAGATGTCCAAGGGCGGCGGTATTCACTTACCATCAGGTGAACCGACTGCTCGTTTGGCAACTTTTCACATAAAAAAAAACCTCGGCCTCAAAGTCATGGCGAGAGGAGTAAACGTAATTTTGGTTATTGCAACATATCATTTGCCAAGTAAAGTCTGTATGGAGTGTAGAAATAATCAGGAAAATCTGCGTATAAGGGTCCTTGGAAAGGCGACCAAAAGGTAGCGCCATGGTAGCATGTGGGTATTAGCAATGATATTATATACAAACACGTGGTAGATATGACACTAGCGTACCAAAACGGAGGCATTCAAATAACACCAATACCGTCCATATGCGTCGTCTATATTTTCAAACATCATTGACTAATAAGTCAGCCGGGGTAAATTAATAGATACCGTGGTTTCTAGTTACTAGTCACTACATCAATTCAATCATACCTGATTCAAAATATACCTAAATCAAATAATCAAAAACCTTTGCTACACTAACACTGTTTTGGCGTATTGTGTTTGGTCATTTTTGAACCTTTATTTGGTAATTAACCATGGACACCTCTTCAACTTATAAGATTATCCTCCTTAATTCTACACTCCATACATTTCTGAAAGAAAACAAATATTTATTATAATTTTTCACAAATATTTGCCATTTTTCATATTCATTAAAAAAATAAACGAGTGAGTATCACACCTGACAGACTAGGAAAATATTGCAACTAACAGGAGAAAAATGCTTTTTCGCCAGAAAACAATAGATATTTCAAATAAATATTTTTTTGAAATGATTGATTTCTTTATTTACTTATTTATAATTTGTACTAACTAAAAATTCGACCGCAGGCGACCAGTTTAAATGATTTCGGTTCATGTGTCATAATTATAGAAGCTCAATGTCAATTAATTATAGATGACATAATATAGTAACATTCAATATGTAAAGTGATAACAGGGCCAATTTCAATATGTAAAGTGATTTGCAATCCGAGTTAACATAATTTAATGAACATTGCCACGAACGTGTTGTGAAGGACATGCATGTTTACGTGAAAATTAAATATCGAAAATCTAATGTAATTTAGACAGCACAAAGTTTATAAATATGTTTCTTAATACTTTTCATATTTTGTTTATATGTTTCGTAACTTTACGTAAAAATTTCGAATTCAAGAAGGGATGAAAACATATACTTATTAATCAAAACTGTTTGATGTCAAAGTAATGTGTATTTATCTTCTTACGTAACTGGTAGAGGGATTGTAAAGAAATTTAGAAACGTACAGAATAAGTTGTAATCTGTATAATAACGGTTGAATCACTTCTACACCTTGTGTGTATCTATATATTTTGTAGTATCCATCAATTACATCTATTTACATTTAAACAAATCAGTAGTGAAATGAGAGCAAATAATTATTGAAATTTTTTAGAAATTTAAGGTTTTTTATAGTGCTAATCTCTGGACATAACTTTTCTACAAGTTTTAATATTGAAATTTTTCCTATCGCTACAATTGCAATGACAACAGATGGGTCAAAGATTAATGTCATAACCGAATCTCTATCGGTCAGCAATCGAATGTATAGGAGAGTTTGAAAATTCGACTTGTATTTTGTAATCGGGCTATTGGAGGACATTTACTAACATTCGGTGGCAATTATCCTTAAACCGTGGTAGGGCCAGGCAACAATATCCACTGTTGCACGAATAGGCAGGTCCATCCGAGTAAGTACCACGACCTTACAGAAAATTGGCGTGAAGTTGAAGTGTTATTCTTCTGAATTTCGTCTGGCGAGTGAGGTTACCGGCGCCCACTTTTTCAAAATTTGGTAACGAATCTGCAACCATAAGGGTTTTTTATGCGAAAAGTTGTGAAACGAGCAGACGGCAGACACTCGAGGGTTACAGATGCGTTGACAACCTTTTGAAAATTGGGCTCCGGCTACCTCACTTACCAGACGAAATGCGAAAGTATTTGTCACACTTCCACTTTACGCTGGTCTTCTGTGAGGTCGTGGTACTTACCCGGACGGGCCGGTCCATTCCTGCAACAGCCGAGGCTGCGGCGTGGCCCTGCTAACGATGTTGCACATGTCTATGGGCAGTGGTTAGGCAATGGATGGTCTCGGGTAATGAGAATGAGTCTGTACAAATTGAGACGAAGTAGCAATGAAACCGTAAAGTAAGTCATTTTGCCAAACTTTGCGAATAGATTAAGCTCCGCTATTTTTGCAGGATCCTTGCCAAATATGCTAATGAAGGACATCCATAATGAGACATGCGATTAAAATAGATTAATTTACTAAGAAAAACAACAATGATCTCATTGTATGAACAAAGAGTACACATGGTCATTAATTTTAAGCTATTTTCGGTGATAGGATATTCGCCAAAATGATGACAGTGAAAACAATTTGAAGTACGCTGCGACGCGATAATGAGCAATTATGGACAGAAACAAAGATTGCAACATTGAAATAAAAGAGCTTAAATTATGATCGGTTCTCGATGAGGCAAAACATAACAAAAATAGTCCACTTCTCCTTCCTCAATAATTACAGTAAATTACTGAGTTTATGAAAAAATTATAACACAAGGCAGTTCTTAACGGACAATAAAAAGGACTGCCGCAAATGTTGTAACATTTTTTACAGCAAGTTAGTAGTTTCATGCACCTTCATATAGGATCGGTGAAAACTTTCTTCGTATTTTATTTACGACTTTATAATTGTTTTTATATATATTTTTATATGCATTTAACTATAATATACATGTGTCATTTTGTTCGATAACTTATGGCTATGTTGTAGGTGATTGTAGATTGTAGTGAATTTACTAAAAATTAAATCCGTTACTGTATAACTTTGGGGATTTCTGATAAATAAAAGACAACCAGTTGTTGGAAAATCCTCCCTTGATGTTAACCTAAAATAACCCTCAGAAGTTTGAAGAAACCGAAACAGGTAAATCTGAGGGTGCAAGGTCAGCTACATGGTGGGGATGCCATTGACTTCAGTACCAAACTCTCTAAAGTTGTGCTGAATGGTCGAAGATGTGTGTTCTCTGGTGATCAATCTCTTCAAAAATAGTTAAGCCACCGCCCCCATAGGCATTTGCAACACCCGTAGGGTTGCAGACGCGTTGCCACCTTTTAATTAATAATAATTTCGCGTCTTGTGTCGTATTTTTCTATCCTTTGTTCATCTTGGTAGACAGAAAACCAAAAAGGTATTTAATGGTACTAAAACCGGCCAGTTAAATTATCCTAGCGTCGGTTGACATTTACCTTAATGAAATTTAGATTCGAGCGACACATCGCAGACATACCGCACTAGCTTCCACGTCTTACCAAAATAGATAACGGTGCTGAATTGCTCGTCGGTGTATATTAATACTCCCTATCAATAATACTGTATCTATTTAAGCGTCCAAACAATAGTTGTACAACAACTCTTGATATTAAGATGTGATCAAACTATGCGGTTAGACTGCAGACAACAAATTGCCATCGAAAATAAAAGAAGTTAAACTACCTCCTATCTTTACCGGCCTAATGATATATGAACAATTAATCCAATAAGTTCCCATTACGTACTTATTATCAAATAATTCAAATTAATTCTCTGATTTAATTGAATAAATGATTTGAATGACTTCTAGCGTATTTGCTGAGGCACTGGGTATAACCTCGTTAGGAATTCTGCGAAATAGTGATGAAGGTTCGCTACGCAAGTCCCTAACGAAAGTAGTTGGTACAAGAAACAAATACGTCTTTAAAATGTATGTATCATACATTACGTGGTGCTTACAGAAATAATCATTAATTTTCTGGTCTCCTTTCCAGCTTTATGTAATGCGCAAAAAATGACAAACAGGTACAACTCGTGAGTAAGTACGCAGCCGTCAAGCGCAGTGTTGACGCGGCGCGGGCGCTGTTTGAGCGTGTATTTGATTAATGCCAGTGAAACGCAACCTTAAATTGACGATCAATTGAAAAGAAAAGCGGTAAAGTGTTTAGTGGCATAATTTCTGTATGCCTTGGCCTCTTTTTTAAAGGATAATTAAAAACATTCCATTCGTACCAATTTCATATAAATTCGATGAAGAAACTCGAACAATTGGGATTAGAATTTAGAAGACAATATGTATGCGCCGATAAAAATTGTTATGTCTCTTAGCTCGTGAAAAACAATTTGCGAACGTTCCAAATTTTCTTTCGTTTCTTTTGAAGTTTTTTATTACTTCAGTATGTGACGCAAACGTTCTTGATAAAAACAAATCGAAAATATAGATTAAAAATGAAGAACATTGCCGACCGTATTTTTCCGGATGTCTCGTCGTATTTTTATAATTTTAAAAATCATTTCCTTAAGGTAGTGGAAGTCTCATGTAACGATGAAACCCTTTTGTTTTTTGCACATATTGACGCATACGTAAATCACTGAAATTACTAATCACAGGTTTTGAAACTTGATGAGCAATAAACTGGCACAAAGTCAAAAGCACAGTCATATGTGGATATTTTTAAGTGTTGAAATTGACGGCGGTGCGCGATAAAAACAGACTAAGCTAAATCACAATACTGTTCAAATCGTGCTGTATAAATATGGAAGTAGACATGGAACGCAACGGGTAAGTTTTTAAAACATAACAATAATACATTAGAAAATTAACAATAGTTTTTTTTTTATTAATTCGCAATCATTCAAGAAGTAGTTAATTATGAAATGACTGCATTTGCATTTAATTTTAATAAGTTTTCAATTATGTCCTTTTCATTTAATTTGTTACATTTTCTTAATCTTCAGGAAATATTTGTAATTGCATTTAATTTTAGACCGTTTCTTGCAAATAGATCTGTTACTAGATTATAAAAATATGCAGAGTATTATAAAGTACAGCACTTACAACACAACGTACAACACAAATATGACAAACAATTGTTCGAGATAACAATATGACTAACGAAGTAAACAACTCGATGGCTGTTAATATGACATTGCTTAATTTATTAATTTACTAGTGTGTAACTCTTTCCCATACGACAAAATTACGAAAATATAATAAAATAGCTTAGTAGAGATCTTCCCTCGTTTGAATCTCGTTTTTTAAATGCCCTGACCCTAAAATATGAAGTACTTGTCTACACCTTGGCGATAACGTGTACTAAGATGTTCAATCATGTGATGATACAATTTTTTATTAATCTTTATATTTACAAAGGGGTTTTTTGATGATACTATCATCTGATATTATGATAGAATAACAAAATCAAGTTACGAGTATATTTGAATTTAAATGAATCGTTCACCAAACGTATGAACAATAATTTGTGCATTTTGTTGCACTTTACAAAACATTTATCCAGAACCGAAACAATTTTTCTATGTTAAAATCTAACGTAAAAGTAAAAGCGGAATAAACATTGCCGTTTATTAACGCATAGCGCGTAAATAATAACATTTACACTCTATCAGAAAACCGGTACATAATTGATCACATCTCCCGTACCAACAACCGATACAAGAAAGCACCTACAGGTGACTTTCACAAACAGTCCCCAGACATTATTTCGTTTATCGTCTTACTGCAGCCTTATGTATATTTAACAAGGCTATTAGATTTACTACGATAATACCATCTTTGAGCGATGAGACCCTTGGTAGAGAAATTAATCTATGAAATAAATATTATATACTATATAGGATCACAAAACATAATAATTGTAATATATAATATGAATAAAAATACAATTTAAGCAATGATAAATGATCACCTATGAATTACGTTTTTATTGTAGTCGATTGTGCTTTTAATCATCAACGTTAGCGATTATTATTAATAGATAATATCGTTTAATGCAAACAATGGAATCAATAGTAAGTTTCTCAAAATTGTGTTGTACGTAATATTTTAAATGCTGTTAGACTTAAACCCAATTGTAGAATAATAATATATATAATATAAGCTAATAGCTAATAATACCCAGTTTGAAAAAGACGTTACATTTTTAATTAGACTACATTAAATATAACTAGTTTGAAAGATAAATATTATAACAAACTAAAAAATCTAGTATTTCATATGTTTCGTGTGGCTTTGTGCAACAATAGTAACTACCTGTTACCTAATGTATTGAGGTTCGATGATCCCAATTAATCTTCTAAGAAAGAATGACAGCTGATTGACAGAAAGAGCAAATGTTTTTGTCAACCCATGCCATAGTTGTCGACTTATAAATACAACTGAACTTTAACGAAACAAAAAAATCGATTGCAATAGCCATTGGAATATAGACCTTCTTTTCACATTATTTTACCATAGTATACAATATATATATCTCCTAGTACATAGCCAATTTCTATACGTTTGCCTTCGAGATTTAATACAAAACTTGTCATTTAACATTGACTCGCTACAACATAGCCGAATAAGGATTATTGAGGTTAACAACCATATTATAACCTAAAAGGCTTTAAGTGACGTGTGTTCTCGATCTCGTAGAATTAAAAATCGACTGTCATATAACGTGATCTGACATACTCGTACGTACTAATGTTAAATTGATATTTTAGAAAAAAAATAAGAAAAAGCATCGTTATGCAATTAGAGGAAGCCTTATAATAATTGGAAACCAAACAAAATCAGACATTACATATTTCTATTCCAATTCAATCAGTCAATCTTATAGCTCCTTTCTATTAATTCGTTCGATTTCAGAACCAATTAAAATTTCTCTGATACGAGTATAAGAATTGGTCTGTTGTAAAATTACATTTTAGAATATGTTAATAAATTATTTAGCCTATCAATTTTCGCCTAATTCAAGAAAGGAGAAGGTTCTCAATGCGTTTGTATTTTTTATGTTTATTACTTCAGAACTCCGCAATTTATGAATCGATTTTAAAAATTCTTTTTACGTTTGACATTTCATTGATATTAGTCCTTGGAATTGGAGATACCTAGAGCAACTGCTCAAAATCTAATAGAAATGAATCGTGAGATGATATTTGAATATATGTATGTACTTGTATGAAAATATTTGTTCTTGAGTTTCAACCATTGTTCACCGGTTTTTTGTTTCAACAAGTTTTCTTGAGGGAATGGATCAAAGACAATCGATAGAGAGTCGGTTGTTTATACGGTGCCACAAGTTCCCATGAAAGTGCGAAGGAAACAATTCACTTTCTTGTATGAAAATGTCAATGACATACCTATATCATTTGTTGCATCACCTACACAAGTATTTATATTATATTTTAAAAGTACAATTTAAGCAATTTTAACGTATTATGATGATTTTATTTTATCTATTTTTACATTTAGTTGTTGTATTTAGTTTGCAAACTTTCTGTGTTCGTATGTAACGCTTTGTAAATTTCATTTTTTGGTTATATTAAGAGAGTTAGGTGTAAGTACAAAAAAGCAATAGTTCAAAGAAAAGATACCGTTAACTGTGGTGGGGCCACGCAACAGCCTTCGTTGTTGCACGGGAAAGTACCGTGACCTCACGTATTGTAGTCTGGTGAGGTAACCGGGGCCCACTTTATTAAAAGAAGGCAACACATCTGCAGCCCTACGGATGTTGCCAATACTTTTTTATACATCATTATTTTGATACGGGAATAACAATAACCGCCGCTATATGTCGGTTATTATTATTCCGTTTAGCATTATTTCATCATAAATTTTTGCCTGTCAATCATCGAGTTTATTTAATACAATCAAATAGGCCTGTATCGCGGTAACTTATTCTGTATTATCAACATCATAATAAATATTTGCAATTAATTAACACGGCAACGTTCATCATCTGTTTCATCCGTTAAAGGCAATCATTTGTATCAATTGATGAAGATCACGTTACCAACAGAATGAGGTTTTTGTTAAAAGGTATTAAAATAATAAACATAGTCTAACTATCCTAATTAATGAAATGAGAAGAAGATGTTATTAACAATATTCTTTACAGAATTGACTTCAACAACCCCGGCGCCAACAAGCCCGCTAATCTTGCAAACTCTGCCGTTCTGCGTATGCTAGAGGAGGAAGAACGCAACCGCAAGGGACTCCCAAGTAAGTTAACAAATATAAAGTTTGTTCGTAGTTGACTACTATCGGCAAAGTGGATGTGGTTTCTATATTGGTTGTATTATCTTGAAGTCAGAATCCTTCTTAGTGATAATCTGCGATGAGCCTGCAAACCTGCGTTAGACAACAAATTCTTCTATTGAGCCTCTTTCCTAAAGACATTTCGAAAGATCTTTATAATTCTTTAGTATACAGCTGACTTTTCTAGCCTGTTGGCGTAGCAAGGACTGATGTCTACTATGAGCCATTTTCTTGTTGTATGTCTTGGTCGAGTGTAAAGTTTTCCTAGCTTTGTAGAATTATGCTTTTCGTTCTTATAATCGATTCTACCGATATCGTGTTTTTTAGTTCAGAACTCAATAAATTATAACTTACTCAACAACGTATCGTTCCAATCACAAAAGTTGTTAAGAATCTCCAATTGTTCATGCCTTAAATAAAATATTTATAAAAAAACAATTTTTGCAAATGCGCCACAACCTAAAGTTTGCAATTATTAATAAAAACACCCAGTACTTTATTTTATTAACCTTTTTGTACATTTTAATGTGAGACAATGCGAATGTACAAAGCGAAAGTAATTACCCGTACAAAAACAATTATTTATAGAGAAGTGTAGCAATGCACATAACACAGCTTTACTAACGCAGCGTACCTGTTGAATTGCTTCGCCAGAATTAGATCCAAGCCAAATACAGGCGATTTTGGACAACTTAGTTCTCGCCAGGCGTCGCTTCGACAGCTATTGGCCGCCACGAAAGGACGAGACCATACGTCGGGGCTGGAATTTGCTCGATACGACCGGTCATATTTACTCTGAGTTCTTGAAGGCTACTAAAGGTACCGAAATGGACCAGTAGACTTAGACCTTCATTAGCAATAGCAATTAGCCCGATACCACGCATAACCCAAATCTCTTTCTGGTTTCGTTCGTGCGTTTTGTTTGTTAAACCATCTCTATTTTAACTACAAATGTAAATAACGCGTCGAATTTAGATAAATTAGACAAGTACAGTTGTAGTTCATCAATTAGTTTAGAACAGTTTCATAATTAGGCTTAGGGATAATTTTTGAAAATGTAAATAAAAATTAAAAATCATAGGAATGTATTATATGATTATAAATTCATGTTTTGACATCCGTAGGTGGATAGAACATAGGTAAACCATTAATTAAACATTAATATTTGACAATTAACATCAAATATACGATGGAGTATGTATAATGTTTTAATGTTTCATACGCATGCAATTAAAAATTAATTCGTACTAACTACAGCAATTATTAATAACTACAGTGTGTATTTACTGATAATATCTAAAACTACTGTAGTTACTGATAACGATGAATCTCACTGTGGTTATTGATGCACTAAAAGTTGCCATGACGTAAGGGATTTCTGAAACTAGTCTGAGAATATTTGTTTTACAAATGCGAATATAGGTCAGAATATTGCGTTAATAACATGAAAATCTTTAGAATTAGAATTAGCGCTTGCTTAGTAATAGGGATTGTAAATAAAATTAACATAAAATTCATTGTGTTGAACTGCAAAAATCAGTTTCAATACAACTATTCCAATCCGTAAGACCGTTTTGTTAGTAAAAATTTTATGTAATAACATAAGATTTACGAGTTAGAGATTGTATCTATCTCTTAATGTTTATTTCAGCGTTTGACCATGATCCACCGGTCTAAGAATAATGATACTTTGTTTTTTCTTCCCCGCAACCTGGAACTATTTTGGACTACTCCACTTTCGCGGGCTTCGGTGAATCAACGTCTAATATTACAACAGCGATGGGCAGATGCGAACGGCACTCGAATGCTTAGAGGTGCGAAAAACTGGCTATAAGCCGGTTGTAAACCGCGTACAATTTCTGTAATATATCATTGTTCAATACTACATATGTTGTAGTGAGTAAAAATGTTCGCAACGATCTGTATAGATATCGAAATAGTCATGGAAAAGTTTAACGGATCAAGTACGGCAGTGGGTAAAAGCAAATCATATATTTCTTATTGAGTTAGTTGATGTGTTTACTTTATAGGAATCTCCCTTGCACTTCTTAAGCTTTCTTCTTTAGCAACTGATTTTTGAAACAGTTTTATTAAAGGCAGCACTAAAACAGCTATCTGATACAACAAAATCAACTAACCAATTTATGAAAGAGTAGATTTTTATTTATAAAATAAAATTGGTAGTGTCCTAAAGTAGAAGAACTGAGACAATATTGTCTCAGTACAATACTGCAAACCCTATGTAAATAAAAAAAACTGTAGTCAATTAGAACATTAACCATAGTAATAAAATATTGATGCACGATTTAATAATAAGTGACCTTAATTTTGCTAAGCGTTTCAAGTACAAACATATATTTTTCAACGCAATGATCTGTTAAAATCGCGATCCAATAAACTAAGCTCATAAATAGCCCATAATAAAAATGTGCGTTCCGATCGAATGTGTTAGATTTACATACCAATCTATTCCCAACCAGACACGTACATACCAAAAGCCACGCTCCGCGGTTTCGGTCCAGCCCGCTATAAACGTAGTAGAGCAGAAAGAGCACGAGAGATCGGTTGAACCCTAAATGCGCTCTCGAAATATAATGCGCCTTGTGTTCGCACCTACACACCTGGCGGGTGAGCCAACTGATCATACGTTGTCCTGACGAGCCAGCGATAGGTGGGCTCGCTCTCCAGTTACCCGACCGTGAGTCACGTTGCATACTAGCGTTTGGCGAGGACTTCACTTATCATATCGATGTACCTAATCGCTTTCTGTCATTGATTGCTACATTTGACATGTTGCGTGGAAATTTGCCAGTCGCATCTGACACCTTAGCATTAACTACTATCGTTTTAACCGTACGCACTACAATACTTTTCGTTAAACCCATCTATTGTTCCAGTTCGAATAATTTCAAAGTAAATGAGATTATTTATAGAGAATCATTCTAGATCTCACTGTTTCATGTTGCAAGTTCACTCTGATGTAACTAATGTTTCAACACCTACATGTTCTCCGTCCTTTGCCTCCAAATAACAATAAGGACCGAATCACGTTGCAATAATTATATGAACATAAATACGCATTTTAAATCACAGGTACTTAAATTACGTTCCATTACATTCCCGGAGAATCACTTGATTGATGAGAAAAATAATTTTTAATAGAGAAAGACTAATTAGCCTCGCCCAAACAAAAAATGTCCCAAATAGAAGAAGCAGAGGACGTAGAAGTTTGTAAAGGGTAGAATAAGGGTAACAGCCCTTAGAGCTTCATGGGGCGTTTTAATAGCAATACCTTAAATTATCTTCAAGAGTGTGGGGAAATCCTTACTTTATATCCAAATTTGAAGAAAAATATATTTAAACAATTGCTGTAAAATTATATGTATAGGTATTCTCGGATTTTAGGTATTTCTCAGTTACATTTAATTATAATATTTGCTATAATAGCAGATTCTTTTTATCATAGAAAAGGATATTGCTTATGAAAGCAATGCAACATCATCGGTCTTGGTATACTGAATATACAAATTCAGTTCACACCTAAGAAGTTTGTTTTTTATTTCGATTTTCTGGCGCATATCCAATGATGAGTCGGTCGGGCCTATTTAAACCGGAATGTGTCATTATATGTAAGTGTATCGTTGTCGAATGCAGATGTGTGTGGTCCAGTGATTTCAGGTGGTGATAGGTACGAAATTTTTCATTTCAATGAAAGCCAAGAAATTTCTCAAAATGTTCTCAACTATTCTTTCATAATCATTACACCCCTCGTGTGATTCATTAAAAAGTACTACAAATACTTAACTAGAGTTTTGTAATAGAATTTAAATGGTGACGACTTTAATAACAGTTTTTTTTAAAAAAAAGGTAATATTGTTGTAGGCCAGAAGAAAGTGGTGTGGCCGCCGGCCCCTGAAACCAACGGCTACCATCAATCCCAGCAGGTAACACGAAATCCAATATAACTGGATATGTTTATATTTCAACATGTAAATATACGAAGGAACACGGTGAAGCTGCACATAGTCATTACGCTTAGAGGTGACGGGGGCTATATAATTGCATGTCATCAAATATTCCGTCGGCAACAATTAATAGCGCATGCAAATGATCTCAATTGTTTCATGAAATGTGGACAATTAATGAACATACATTGCAGTAAAACATGTGAGAAATTTAATTTATGTAATTTTGCTATCAACTTGTATTAGTAAGAATCATATAAAACTTTATAAATGCTTCTTACAATTACGAATTTGGTAAATGCTGATTCCCTGTCATTTTTCTATCGTTTTGAAATAAGTAAATTTAATTGTCCGTTCAATAAATGTCCACCGATTTCTACACACAACATTAAGGGGTTTCACATTTGTTAATAAGTCGATAGTAAACGTTAGGAGGCTTCACGAAAGTAGACGTGATTGTAAATCATTAGTATTTGATTAGTCCGAAATGTGTTTCCGCACATTTACTTTTAACCTTAACCGTGCACGAGTCCGTGTTTTACGGACGGCCCCAAACGGTAACGTTGTACCCACAGCAGAGCCCCGCGTTCTACAACGCACAGCACTCCCCATCGCAACAGCCACCGCAGAGCCAGCCCCAGTACCAATCCCAGCCCCAGCCCCAGCCCCAGTACCAGTCCCAGTCCCAGCCCCAGCCCCAATACCAGCCCCAGCCCCATTACACACCCGAGCCTCAGTACCAATCCCAGCCCCAACCCCAATACCAAGCGTTCAGCGAGGGCAAGCGCCAAGAGGCCACAGGGCTGAGTAAGCTGATCCCGGTCGGGCCGGGCGCTAGTGTCTCCCCAGTTGCCCCTTACCGCCAGGGCCCGCTATCGCCGCAGCCCTATCGCCAACAGAGCAGCCGCTGGGCCCCCGTACCGGCCCCATCTTCTCCACAGGTACTCACAGGCACAAGGAGGAAGCATCGTCGCCGTTCGCTCCTTTCTCTACACTTCTTACGTCTCAGCGTTGCACTAACACTAAGATAATCGCGAAAGTTTGCCTTTTTCAATCTTCATGCTGCAACTAAACGGATTTGTATTAAACATTTGTATAAAACTTTAGGAACGTGGATAACTATTGCACTGCTTTAACACATTAGATAGAGTAACACATAACCACACGTGACCTTTACTAATAAATAAAGCAAATCATTGTTAAAATCGACGTAATTTGTGACGTCATTGTATTTTATCTAATGTTTCGTTTTTAACCTTGTATCATACATAATTATCTAAAGTTCAAAACTGTCTATGACGCTAATATACCATTAACTCGTGTCTAGTACGTGTAATGATTTGACGCAGTAATCTGACATTGTCCTTTCCTATTTATAAATGGCGATAATTTATATTTCAGGTGGATTATTGGCCGTTATCCAATCGAGTGTAATGTCAAATCTGTTATAAAAGTACGAATAAAATGATAGTTTAAATTATATAAAGAACTGATAATTGACAGTCCCGTGAACATGAATACTCTAAACTGGTCAAAAGTTTGAGAGTTTAAACAAAATGAAAAGGGATAAAATCCGTCCATTAGTTTTATTCAACCATTTGTGATAGTGTCGTAAATTCCAAAAATCGTTAATAACTACTTTTTTCTTCGCATTTTTGTGCTTTTTTCACCATTCTAAGCTAAGCTTAAATCGAAATCGAATTAACACATGCCGAATATCGATTGACTACAGTGCCGTGACTAAACAAATTATACATTAACGAATTGAAACGAATTAATTAATAATCAATTCAAATCTGAGGTCTGCCAGCATTAACATGTTACGCTATTTTTCTAATATAATTCAAATTTCCCAGCCGCAATATTCGCCGCAGCCCCAGTTTTCACCACAGCCTCAACACTCGGAGCCGTTGTACCAACCACCACAGAAACAGTTCGAGCCGCCTCCGTCCACAATAACCCTTCGTCAACACCAACCAGTCCACCAAAAACCACCGCCCGTGTTCCCCAGTCAGCCTGCGGCAGCTTCTTTCAAAGGTACCGTCCATAAAATGGCATCATTATAGTTGGTCGTGGGTTCGATTCCCACACGGGAAAACTAATTGTGTGACCCACAGATAATTGCTTAGGATTTGGGTGTCTGTCCACTTGAAAATATAATATGACATTAAATATAATTTATTTACCTAAAACGTCTTTACAACAAAGGATAATGTTATCTTTCAGTAAGGGCAATGATTACTTTGAAAAAGAAAGAATAACATAACAAAAAGAATACTTAATAATTTCTAAATTTAAAATAATAAAAAAATTATTAGATTTTGCCATCTTTCTATAACTATAATTTTAAAAGTTATAAGTATATGCAAAAGCGAGTAAAAAACTAATCACTCTTATGTGTTTCGTATTATTAGGTAATTGTATACAATTTTTATCACTTATTTCGTATTTCTGATTGTATTCAAAAATACATATCGGTAGTTTAAAACAACTTGCATAAAGTTAGATTCAACATGAAAATATTTTTATTTACTTAGTTAGTACATTATTACAACAAAATATACACAAGTGAGCAGGTGTGAACTTAAATTTATAAAGGCTATATTAAATCCCATAAAACTCTTTAAAGGCGTAACACATTCACAACACAGTGTGCTACGGTATTGCCAGTAGGTATATTGTTTCTGAAAATGCGTTTTTATATGTGGGGTTCTCGCTTTATAAAAGTGTCTTGGAACACGTAAAACCTTTTATACTATACCTGCTAAAAGTCGTAAGACATTTTTAAAACGTGCGAAAGAAGTTGAAGAACTTTAAAATTTATAGCTTGACATTATTAAAAAGAGTATCAAAGCGACAATACGTAAGTTAAGTTGTCACTTTTCGATATATTTTTTTAAAATTATTGAAACTTTTTTTGATAATTGAAACTTTGATTTTAATTATTGAAACATTATTTATTGTATGGAAGCATTGCTGACTGTAATGCTTATTTTATTAATAATTTGGTTACGTTCTCGTAGTGAAATTTCAAAGCCTTTTTCCTGAAGTGTCGTCATCATGCAGATATATAACAGACTTGCATAATTTAATAAAATAAAATTTTCCTCAGGGGGAGTCAACATGCGTGGAGATCAGAAATGGCCGCCTCAGTCGGTGAAGGAAGCCGTGGCGGCAGAAAATGAGGCGAGAATGATGCTCGCCAAAGGACCAGCTTGCAGACCACGCAAGGTGAAAATTGTTGATAATTTTACCATGACGAACTATATATAGACACATACCTAAATAATTTTTGAAAACCCCTTTATAACTAAAGGTTTAATGAATTTAACCCTTTACTGATGAACAATATTGTGCAAGAACAGAGTGAACCCCAAAAAAATAACAAAATCGTGCATGCTGTAAATATTTTTTGGTACCAGTTTCCACTTTCCCTTATTGCTATTTATCTTCTGAAAAAAGTCAGTGGGATATAGAAGCAACATTGTTATTGCGATCTATTCGATTTATCTTACTCCTATGTAGCCCCTTTAATGTTGATAAACTTGCTTGATGCTTTTAAAAGCAACTGTCAGTGCAGCTGCTACGAAATAAAAGAATAACGTCATTTTGACATGTACGTAAGCCCCGGTTAAATATACATTTAAGATACAGATATAATTATGCATTGTATAACTTTTAGACTGCCTATTGACTGAATATTCAAAACTATTCAAAATACGCTTGCCATCTTGAACGCAAACGTTATCTGTTTTAGCCACGGCAATATTCGCTCGCTGAATTAGTTGCCATGAACGAGGTGTAAGCGTCCTCAACCCTCGATCCTACTCGATCGGTAAAAACGGTGCATATTTTGTAACCGACTCTGTAAGTGACGCTTCGGTCATAGTGTGACTCATAAAACAATCTACTATTAACCGACCACGGCTTTACATATTGTATTATTGAAGATAGCCTTTTTTTACAAATCAAATAAGCCTGATGAGCCCATATGCTTGATGATATTAAAATTGCAATTAATTCCGTATTAATTTAATAAAAGTTGTTACAACTAGGTGATCATAGCGATTATCAATTTGGTTTACAGCAAAAACATTTTTTTGTTTCATACATAAGTACATTAGGTGTTTTGTACATGAAGTACGTAATATAAGTATCAAGATTAAAGAATAAATTCAGGTATTGTAACTTCTAAATAATTTTGCGGCAAATTGGCTACCTTCATTATTACACATACTCAGTTAAAAGGCCCACGGTAGCACCACTAGAAATCTACTGGCGTAGTAGAAACCACCTAATGTTTAGATTAGGCTTCGCACTATTCTAGTATCATGAAATCACGTAATTGACTAAATTACATTCGTCTATGTCTCTGAAAACTCCACTTCTTTCTCTCTATTGGCTTTACGTTGCAAGGGGTAGTGACTGCATGAATATGGATGCTGTGTTGTTTCGAATCATATACGGCTGGTTTCAATAATCTATCTCTAGATTTGGTCACTGGTATTTTGACGTTATTATTATGGAGCTAATGTCAAATACCTATCGCTAGTAAAACTACAGATACATTGAATATTGGAACTGGCAATACTCGTTAGTAAATGTAGAGTCGCATGCCAATGGAAATGTGTATTTAACTTCTACACTTTATGTTGCAGATAAAGAAAGATTACTCTGGCTTCTTCGCACAGCACGCCCTAAATCACAACTATCCCGGTTACCGCGCCCCGCCCGGCACTCAGCACTACGAGGACCATTCTGGCCGATCTTCGTACTAAATTAGGAAACTAGTTTTATAAACGATGCTAACTGGTTATAAATATGTTCGTAAGAAGTTTTAGGTAATCGATTGTCATTTTCTTAGTAAACACGAGTCGTTTCAGTATTCCGAAGTATGATATGACATTGATAAAAGTAAAAAATACATTTTTCATGCATTTATAACTTCGGCGCAAAATCGTGTCTTTTAGTTACGTAGTTTGGGGGTAAATGCGCTGACGTTATAAATGCAAGTAATCGATTCGTTATAAAACACATAATCAATAGAATTCAGGGTAATAGTGCACTGAAGAAGAAGTACTTGTGTAGACTTTAGCTGATAAAGTCTTAGGGCACGTACTGCGGGAATCGTAATCAGTACTTAATATTAGTTTTTAATTTATTTTATGCGATCATCATTATGTAGTTTTTAAGTATTCTTTAATTTATAAAGGAAAAAATGTTAAAAAAATATCAATCACGCTTCAAACAACCACAATCGCAAATTCGCTGTACTCACTCATGATGAATTCGCGCCAATTTACGATGGAATAAAAAAAATGTGCGGCCACAATTTACAAACGTATGCGACTGCTTGTAATGCTTTTAACGGTATTTGTATGTGTAAATAATGCTCAAACGCCAATATTATTTAATACTAAACAAATATTACAAATGAAAATCTCAACCAAAGCTATTATTAACAATTACTTGACACTGAATGTTTTTAAGCTATTGGCTATAAGTAAAATATATGTAACTAGTCATGATATAAAATCGACCTATATTTTGTATATAAAATATTTACTTTTATATTTCATTGTGCAAATTATATTCTAATGAAATAAAAACGCTACGTATGATACCATTTTTTATTCAACAACTTTACAGCTATATTACATAAAAATATTTTAATTTTAAAATACCACCAAATAATATATGTATGCGACACACACGATACCTTCAGATTATAGTAACATTCATAACGGTTCCGTCCCACGAAACTTCTTTCAGTTTGGCTTTAAGCCAGGGCAAAAATATTTCGCATAAAAATAGTTAACACCTGTCATTTCCTATGATTTCAACGGAGCATCAATTATTAGGTATCTCGATGGTCTGTCAAATTTAAATAGAAATAATATTATTTTCAATGCTAAAATTTCACGTCATGTGTTTTTAAATGCTCACACGGTTTAACAATTTTTCACGGTTTTTTTTTTTTCAATTCAATGAGTAAATTTTCAAACACTTAATCATGAGATAGTGTAAAGTAAATTCCCACTATTCAAGCGACAAAATAAATTAAAAAAACACCTGAGTATTATAAAAATATTTTAATATCATACATCAATTAGCGTACAAAAAAACCACACCGGAACACAACATAAAATTCGATTGCATATATAAATGCTTTCGCGATAATAGTAACTCACTAGCAAGGCTACATACATCTGTGTTATATTATTATGTACATTATGTACAATTCAATAAAGATTAATGCACTGTCTATAAAAAAAAGCTTTGTATCACCACGAAGCTGGAGCTCGAGATAATATCACAGAGGTAACCATGTTAAATAACAATATACCCTATGGCTACGGAAACTGTTAAGGAACAAAAACGTTCATCGAATTTCTAAAACCAGATTCTAAATAATGAAGATAAATTATCAAGCAATAAATCAAATCTATATCAGGTCCATGAGTAATGAATTATTTCAAAAATTTTCGATTCGCAACTTTGTTATATCCTTTCGTGTATCATTTTTTTTTGGTTCTCTTTCAACTTTGTTTGTTTCAAGTTTTTCCGCGTTTCTATTTTTTTTACACAGTTTGACAACAATAAATGCAGGCAGTCGGTTAAACGTTAAATTATATGTATATTATAAAAACATTCCTAAACATCCCACATGATCAACAAGAACAACAATGAAAAATATGATTATAAAACAAAATTATGTAACAAACGTTATAAATACTCATTTTATTACAATTATTTTCAATTATAATATTTATTATGATAAATTATGGCAAACAGGTGTAAAGTGAAGCACAGATAAGAGCCCAGTTACTTTCACAGACTTGTTTTATCAGACAGCAAAAGTAAATATTTTTTGTTTATATTAGTTATGTATTGTTTCATATATAATATATTATATTATATATTATATAATATATTATATATCTAATATATTTATTTATTTTCCCTGATTTTGCAATATTGAGATGAATTGAACTTTGAAATATATCAAACATATTTTGAGATAGACAATATCAAACAGTAATTCTTTATAATGACACTGACTTGACAGTTTCAAACTTTTATTCCTAACTGATGTTCGAATTTGGATCAAATCTTTATTTTAATTTTATATTTGTTTTTTTTTTTTTACTTGTGATGGTGTCTACTCTGTTGGTGCAAGTAATAAATAAATAAATAAATAAATAAATAAATATTTAAAATATTTTAACCCTTTATATATAAGACATTCCGGCCACTACAACGGAAGATAAGGTACCGTTTTTAAACCGATATATAGCTTTTATATAATCTACTTACAATAGAGGACATAATTTGTTCAGTTCATCAAAAGCCAGTTCAGGTTGCTAGTGTACATAATTATAACAATATATATTTCGTTGTTTACAATTGGTCACAATCTGGTTATGTGTTTGTAACACCAAAAGTTTTCATATTACGATTTATAAGTATTATTACATTAAAAGTATGTTAGCAATATTTAAATGCAGCATGTACGAAAACAATGCATGTTATGGTCTTTGCAAATAAATTAACATAAAATTAAAATAACCTCTCTTAGGCGAGGTAAAATACTTTAATTTTTCTATGGTATAATGTATTTTAGATATAAAGCAATTTTTTTCAGTAGGCCGTTTTTTTTACATAAAACTCTTTCTTTCTACATAACTCTAAAGGCGATAAAAAATGAGTATTATAAATTTATTTTATCGATTAAGAAAATATACTTTATTCACTCTGAAATTCTCTTTCCTATTTTATTGAGCTAAAATTATGCATGGTATTTATCTAACTAACTACGCTTGGTTTGATTTATCTAGATCCACGATTAAAAACGTGCTCCTATGTTCCGGTGTAGTGGGTGGAAAGCAAATGAGGATTATACAATCATAGTGTAAATGTATTATTGTCCCTCAAAGCTTTATTTTAATTTGGTACGATGGTAGAGCCACGCAGCAGCCTCGGCTGTTGCACGAATGGGCAGGCCCGTCCGGGTAAGTACCACGACCTCACAGAAGACCGGCGTAAAGTGGAAGTATACTTTCGCGTTTCGTCTGGTGAGTGAGGTAGCCGGAGCCCAATTTCCAAAAAGGTTGTCAAAGCATCTGCAAATCCTCGGGTGTAGCAGATGTCCATGGGTGGCGGTATTCATTTAACATCGGGTGAACTGTCTGCTCTTTTGGCAACTTTTCACATAAAATATAAAATAGTTTTTAAACGGCTTGCATTAGTGTACTTAACTACCAAATACGTGCACTTTCTGTGACGATTTAAAAAGCTGTCCAAACCGTTAAATTAATTTTCTTAAATACCCATGTGTTTTCATTGAGCAGTTGCTGTTGAGAATTTCGAAAACCAGCTAGTTTTAAAGAGCCATTCAATGAAAATGAAAAACTAGCGTGTACTTGATACTATTACTATTACGCAGGGCTCATCCAATAGTTTAAATAGAACCGAGACCAATTCGCATCAATTCCAAAAGTAGTACATTTTCTTTATCTAGACGACTCAAGACGTCCACGAGATCTTAATGCGTATGGAATGAAGAGACATGGCCTCGAGGACATTGGAAACACGGTGAACCTTTTGCAATCGGCGATAACAACAACACGTGTGAGGAAATCAGCGGAAATTGTGACTACACTATCGAATCTTATCCGATTGGAGTGTATCTTATGTTTGAGGTCGATCCGCCCTCAGACGAGCGAGAACCCTTGGGTCTGCTGTATCGCCTGCATGAGGTAGTACTTTAAGCGCTCTTTGGTCTTATAGCGCGGCAGGTCCAAGAGGTTGAAGCACGTGTGCGCCACCGGGTAGAACCTGTCGTCCGCCATCGGCTGTATTCTGATCTGAAAGGACACGCGACGCAAGAGGTAAAATGAAACCTTTGAAATAAAAAAAATGTTTTTAAAGTTTTTTATAGTGCTAATCTCTGCACTTAAGATTGAACATTAAAACATGCCCAGGCGCTATAGAGATTAGTACTATAAAAAATCCCATGAAATACTATCTATTTATTGTGCTGTTACGAAATCAGTTGGCTCGTTCCAGAAGTACCGCGATACTGAATAAAAGCGTAAAATAGAAGTAAAACTGTACACTTTTGCGTTTCGTTACTAATAAAATAACGACGGCTTCTCATCACACGGCTAATACAACACTTATGTTGTGCGTATGACCGTATAACGTTTACCATAAATTAATCCTGAATACTCAAGTGCATTCTCGAGTGAATACAATAATTAAATATTTTTACAATTAGTTACAGTGTAGAGTGGATGGTGTAAAGAAAATAGGATTTGTTTCTTACTTTGATGTCCTTCATACCCTGTATAGGAACGCGGTCACTGCCGGTTAAGAAAAGCAAGAACTTTTTCTTGTCCTCGAGTGACAACTCATGAAAAACTTCCCAGAACCATCTATAACAAGAGCGATACAAATTACAAGGTGCATTTTAGTTCTATCTTTGCTTTAATAGTAAAATATAAATCATTTAAAGAACTACGGGAAACATAAAATTTCGATGGGGTTTCCTTCTTTAAAAGAAATCTCGTGTCCATCATATTTGGATTTAAAATAAGGATTAATACTTTTATAAATCAAGTAACGAAATATGATACTGATATATTTAACTAACAATTTATTTTATAGAATTATTTTACTTGAGTTGTATTTAAAAAGACACAAATCATTCCATAACCCTGAATACGGCAAAGCGTAATGTAGATAATTTAATATCCAAAATACGCGGGATATAATCAGCAAAGTAAAGTAAGTTTACAAACGAATTTCTCCGTGAAAGCCAGGCGTTTCTTTTAATTCTGGCTCTATATACTGACTTGTGTGCCTTAATGTCGGTGACGGGTAAAATTTGAACGAAAGAAGTTAATTTAAATATTAAAAAAAACTGTATATTGAATGCCGTAAAATTATTTCCATGATACGTATGAGAAGTGAGATGACCCGATGGCATAGTTGCTAATTTGCCGGCTTCGGTACCGAGCGTCGACGTTTCGATTCCGACACGAGACAAGTATTTGTGTGATAATTGTTCCGAAGAAGAGTTGATACAAAACATAAGAAAAAAACGTAAGAAGTAGGAGAAATATATGAGAGATCTGGCAATCCGCATTGAGCACTGTCTTCTAGTAGTAATACGCCTCAGCATTGGAACATCTATGTTAAAGGCTACACTATTCTTTTATCTTTCGTTTAAGGCAATTGTCGACATAAAGGGTAGAGAGCGTATGCTTTACTTATTTAATTTTTTTTATCTTTATCGCCAACGTTTTATAAGGCAAAGGAATGTTCTGTCCGTCAACCGGTCAACACTGGATGTGCTTTACTGTTTTGTTACATGGCGATCGTCACCTGGTCTGTTGATCGGTAGCCGAGTAGCCGTTTTTGTACTCGCAGTTGCTCTCGAACACCTCCCAGTCGTACTCCTCATTGCCAATCACCACGGACATCAGCTCGTGCGACCTGAACAGCTTGATTATTCGTCCGCCGCACACCTTGATGGAGAAAACGATAATAAGACACTGTGCTAGAAATATAATTGATGAAGGAAAGTGATCTTAGAAATAAAGATATTTCGAACGTTTCTTTCCGTTTCATTTATATTCAAATTGCAAGTTTTCAAATTTTCAGCTCTCATGTTCACAAGACAGACTGGTTTGTTCCTAGTCATCATGGAAAGTGCTCGTAACGTTGAGAATTGAAAAATAAATGAAACGATTCATTTACGTAACGTTGGTAGGACAAAAAATATTTATTCTATTATTCGTTTAATTATAGACGAGGATTGATGGTTTATTCAAGCAATTAATTCATATAAACTGCCCACTTTATCGTAAGGGAAGTAGGCTGTTATTCAAATACCTTATCATTCCACTGTTACCTCCAACATTAAATCTTGGCGAATTAACCGATATAAATATTACAACTATTATGAGGTACGTGTTAGTAGAAAAATGTATTTTTTTATGTAAGAAGGTGCCATACAAATCTATAACACAACGAGCCATATTGTGGAACAACGCCCGTCAGTTAGCGAAAACAAAATTATTATATCACTACATCATTAATTATAATCAAACTCTTCCTCCGAATCATCGAATCCATTGAATTCACTTTCATGATCAGAAATATTAAACTCGCTATCAGCTCTTGTCTCACTTTTAACTGAATGACCGACGTAAACACGTAAACTTTATTTATACGTAATATATAATCTGTATAACAATTTACAACTTCATTACCAACGTATATATTGATAACACATTTGATAATATACATGAGATGCTAATTCTACGGTTTACTTGACTGACCGCAGTATGTGCGTGTGTTACAACACAACTACTGTAACAAACTGGCAGAAAATCGGCTTTAGTGAAATCAGAGCATTTTTTGCCCTGGCTCTTGGTCCACACCAGCCACCTGACGTCGACCCTCGGGAATATTCACCCTGAACGAGAATTATCTGTACGTGGCACAAATATATATACATTCATCTATACATGTACGTCATATATGTGTAGTTTATGATTAATAATATTCATATATATATTCGTATATGCCCACACATATATTTAATTTTTATGTATATATTTCCTACTTTTGTTTACTTTTTGGTTTAGCACCTGCCATCTACTTCTCACCATGACAAGGGTTGACTGGTAGAGAATCCCATTAGGCATTAAGTCCGCCCATTGTAGCCTTTAGCCTAAGGTGCAACAATGAAGTATAAATAAAAAAATAAATAATGACTCGTCCTGTGTGGGAATAGAACCAACGACCCCCGGGAGACGATAGCTTAGCAACTTTGATTACTTTAGGTAGCCTTTTCACATAAAAAAGAACGTTTCGTTTGGTGAATGCATTGATTTTTTTTAATGTGGTAAGCGAGCTGGCGTTTCACCTGATGTAGTGATAACCGCCGCCCATACACTCGCAACACCCGTAGCGTTGCAGATGCGTTGACACCTTTTAACAAAGTGAGGCCGGCTATCTCACTCACCAGACGTAATGCAGAAGTATAAAACTTCCACTTCACGCAGGTCTTCTGTGATATCGTAGTAGTAACCCGGACGGACTTGCCCATTCGTGCAACAGCGAACCCTCGTTGTGTTTTCCTACCATAGTTAATATAAGGTAAACGTGTTGGGTCAACTATGGCAGGGCCGCGCAACGGTTGGCTGTTGCACGAACTGGGCAGCTCTGTTCGGGGTAGAACAGAGACTCCACCGATGGAGACCGCCGTGATGGAGGAAGGTTAAAAGGTGGCAACGCATCTGCAACCCTACGGGTGTTGCAAACGTCCGTGAGCGGCTCGTTTGCCACTTTCTCAGATAAAAAACAACCTTCTGGAAGCCCTGGTTGAACGCCTTGAACTGGTTCTGCACGGACTTGTTGAGCAGGAAGTCCACGTACAGCTCGACGTACTCGTCCTTGTTCTCGTGCGTGACCGGGATGTTCTCGCCGTTCTCCTTCAGCGTGTGCACCTGGATCTCGTCGAACACGATCGTGTTCACGGCGAAGCACAGGCTGAACACCTGTCGACGGTCAGTTTGTTTTTTATAAGTCTTTTCTTCTTTGATTAACGACCTCTTTTGATGGAAAGCACCCGAATGGCGTAGCTTGGTTCGTTTTGTTTTTTTCGCAAAAGAAGGAACTCGAAAATAAAAGGGAAAAATAATGAGAGAAACATCTGGACTCGAACTGAGATCTTCTGATTTCGGGACCGATTCGATTTCCCACCTGAGCTTTTGTAAGTTTGTAGATGGTGGCGAAATTTATTTATTTTAAATACTTACTTTTGTGAAGAATATACATACCTCTTCAACATCCTCATCGGGGTATTCTAGTAGACTTTTCAAGCTATTAGCCAATGTGGGGTATAAGTCTGAAAGATCATCCAACATGACGGACTCTCCTAACAGTTTCTTATACAACACCAGAGGAAAGGGGACGTAAATGATGATCGAATTGTATATAGCCAGGCCGTAGATCGCACCTAAAAACAAAATGCAGGGATTTAGTGACGAAATTCTATATGAAATTATAAATATTTCGGGACATATTAGTGACACTGGGAAAATTAAGAATACACTTTGGAAAGTGATCGAACCAAATGCATGTTAGGGATAATAATAACTTTATAAATAAATATTTCGGCACATATGTTTGTGCAACGTTATCTAGTCCCAAACTAAGCAATGCTTGTACTATGCTAACTAGGTAAGCTTAGTACAAGGATAAGTATACTTAAGCATACTTTTCTTTTGTACATAAATACATATTATAAATATAATAAAGACCCAGACACTAGAAAAATCCTATGATCATCACACAATATATTTTGTCAGTAGTGGGGATCGAATCCAAAAGAGACGGATTCAACATCCAAGGTATTGACATTCGATGTGTTTTCGGAATTTATTCGAGTTTTTAAATTCACCACATGTAAAAGACAAAGTACAGATAAATTATTAGACAGTTATTTAAACATCCCTTTTATCGAGCCGCAAAATTAGTCGAGAAAACGAACCCACCAATCAGATAATACATGACGTCGTCCTCAAAGGGGTTGTTTGAGAACCAGATCATGTTGGTCTCCTCGGACTGTTTGAACATCCCGTAGACGGGATCGAAAATCTCCTTCAGCAGCAACATGAAGAACTCCTTCTTCACGCCGCCGGCGTCCTCCGCCTCCTCGCCCACGAATTCTACCTGAAACAATCGACGATCAAACATCTGTCCCTCATTTAGCCGCCGACGTAAAAGGAGAGGTACTATATGAGTTTGACGTGTCGGTCTCTGGCATCGTGGCTTCTAAACGAATTGACCGATTATGGTGCGGTTTTATTTTTGTCTGAAAGCTGACTTGATCGAGATGGCTATATATTTTTTTTTGTGTCTGGGCATTACTTAAAATTTATATTTTTCCATTAATTAACAAAAACTAGCTGCTGCCCGCGACTACGTCTGCGTAAAATAGGTTGAAGGCGTAACATTCAGACAGAAAGACGAAGATATACATAAAATATGTAGTATATAAATTATAGCCTATGTCTTATTCTGATATATAAGCTATATTATTGTAAAGTTTCATTAAAATCCATTCAGTAGTATTTGCGTGAAAGAATAACAAACATCCATTCATACATACAAACTTTCGCCTTTATAATATTAGTAAGGATGTGAATAGTTGTCAAGTGAGCAGGCGGTTCACCTGGTTGTAGTGATTACCGCCCAAGGACATCTACGACTTCTGTGGGATTACAGATGTGTTGGTAACTTTAAGGAAAATGGGTCCCGGATACCTCACTCACCAGAAGAAACGCGAAAGTGTAGCACTTTCACTTCACGCCGATTTCGCTCAGAAGGTGAAGGAATTTTGCTTAATCATTCGCCAAATTATACTCGAGTTTACAGCAATGCTATTGATTTTATCAAAAGTTCATTCTGTCTAATATACAGATGAACAAAAAAGATAGAGCACCGATTGTAAAAAATAGTGATAAATTTCATCTACTTGACGCACAAACTAATTATGAACAGAAAACAATATATTTTATGGAGCACAACTGTATAAAAAATTACGTTGATAAAGAATAATGGCGTAGATATGTAAAAATCCATTAAGCAACACCAAAGGAGCCTGTGTTGCGAAATAAGTGTAAAATACTATTTTTATTATAGTTCAGAGCCGTGATAGAACAGTGTCTGGGCGCTCGCCTTTAATTTGATATACTCGAGCAACCTGAGCTCGATCCCCGGTGCCGGCACAAATGAAATTGTTAATTTCAAAAGCTAAATTATCACGTGCTCAGCGGTGGAGGTAAACATCGAAACCTGCATATGTTCGAAATAATAACAAAAAACTGACCTGATACCCTCTGTACAGAGGAGGCCTTTGCCCAGCAGTGGGACATGGACATGTATATGCTGATACTTTACTATTTTTATTAATTATTTTGACTGTACCGTTCTTAAGAGAATAGTTCTTGTAAATTTGAATCTAAAATTGACGATTAAACAAATATATAAATAATAGTTTAACAGTTTTGGGCTCAGAAACTTTGAAGTCTAGCAGTGATTCATATTTTGAATCCAATACAGCAAAAAGCACGCTAAGCAGTTGTTAATTTAAAAGTACTTCTCTCACCTCAAACAGACAGAACAACATTTAGAGTACACGTTCGCGCAATTATACATATCACCTTAATATGCAGTAAGTAGGTATTGCCGTAATTTTCCCACGGGACAAGTTATTACAAACGTATATCTAGATTCCACATCAGTTGCCCAAATACAAGTTGAGAGTATGGCGCGAAATTTGTACGAAAAGTTATTTTAGAGGAGCGCACTAATTCAATTTAAATATGTGCACCGGTTGTTTATTTTAAGGTTCATAAAAAGTACAATTATTATCTATTTGGGTCGATAAAGACACACGTTACCTTAGCCAAACCTATACATAGCCATAGAGAGAGATAGAGATAGAGAGGGAAAGAGATAGAGGGGGAAAGAGATAGATAGAGATAGAGATTCGAAGGCAGATAGAGAACGGAGGAAGCGGATACACACTCTAAGCGGCTTCTTGAGCTGCGACGTGTCGTGGCTGCTGATCTGCATCATGGTGTCCCTCACGATGTGGCTCCGCGACACGGTAACGTTGAGGAACTGGTCGCGCTGGTACTCGTACGTGGGGTCGATGAACAGCCGCGTGAATATCTGCGTGGCCGCGCGGCTGATCGCCATCTGCATCTGCAGCTGCTGGTCGATCTTCAGCAGCAGCGACTTGCACTGCACGTCGAACAGGAACGCGTAGTTGCACATGTGCGGCTGCGACGACTGGAAACCGTTGGACCGCATTAGTACACAGGTCATGCGTCATCATCATTTCAACCGTGGCGGGGCCTTCGTTGTCGCACGAATGGGCAGGCCTGTCCTGGTAAGTATCCCGACCCCACAGAAGACCGGTGTGAGAAGTGTTGCACTTCTGCGTCTCGTCTGGGGAGTGGGGTAGCCGGGCCAACTTTGTTAAGAAGTGGCAACGCATTTGCAACCCTATGGGTGTTGCAAATGTCATTCAAACATAAGGTGAACCGCCAGCTCGTTTGCCACTTTCTTACATAAAAAAAATCCTTGGGTCGTCGCAATACGAACCATTAGAGCACGTTGATATAAGTTACTCATCATTATCCTGCCATTATCCCACCTATGGGTCGTAACAACACGTGAATCGTGTTGTAAGCGGTTTTGGCCAAGTTTTTGTTGGCAGGTCTCTCTCTTACCACAGAAATCGAGTTTGAACCATACGATATATTCCAAGAAATTTTAAGAAGCAAAAGTAGCCATAGTATAAAAAATAAAATTACACTTATTCAAAAAATGTATAGTACACTTACATCTTGATCGGCAAGCCAGTGTATGTAGTCGGTCGCAATATCCACATAGCTGCAGAGGTCTTCTATGTAAAAACATTCCGCTGGTATTTTTGGTTTCTTTGGGTTTGCGAAATTTATCTTATTTAAAAACGACAACGTGTTCAAAATCTGCACAATGCTGTGCGTGAAAGATATTTTCTGAAATATTTCGATAAAACATTTGAATGGAGAAATTGATCAAAAATTAAAAATATTCCAAATTTAGAGAAATGAAACATAATACTTTTAAAATGCATATAAAAATAATAAGAGCAAAATCGTAGATAGGAAATTTCAATCTACGATTGTCATTCGATTGTAAAAAAAAGTCATTGCGAAAACAAATGTAAATAAATCCGTAATTATACAGCAAGCATAGAAATTATGCAATTCACTACGATTTTCGGTACTTTATAAAGTACAACATAACTGGAATGGATTATCTGTACAAATAAAAAAGACTCAATCTTACTTTGTTGGCTTGAACGACCGGCTGCATTAGTTCGTAAACTATGACGCTCTTAAATATATCGACCAGCATCTCGAAATAGTCCGTGGTCTGAGCTTCCCACCACATCTGTACAATCTTCTGGGGATACATCGCCAATTTGTTGAAAGCCTCCGCGAACGGACCCTGAAATGAGATAAAGCAAGAAAATTTAATGACACCACGGCTAACCAAAGGATTCCTTTGTACAGAGGCATAATCTGTCAGCGCAAGTGGGGTCGCTAATTGGTAGATTGAAAAAATACTTTCGCTAAAATATACTATTTAACAAATGTTATTCTATCTTTATAGTTTTATTTGTAGTTTTATCTGATATGGTTGCTACTGCATTTTAAAAATACAATAAAAGCTTGGGCCGTCACCTAATGTTTCCTTTATAGCAAACTTACGTTTTCAAATTACATTTTATAATGAGTATTTCAAATGGCTACAAATTATTTCTGCCACTGATTAGATTTGAAGCGGAAGGCTAATTAGTTTTAAAAAATCGTCCCGCTATCTGCCTGTTCCTATGTATGCTTAGGTCTTTAAAACTAGGCAACGGATCTTGACGCGATTATTTTTACTAGATAGACTGATTCAAGAGGAAAGTTTATATGTATAATACATTGCACCCGTGCAAAGGCGGGCCGCGTCGCTAGTTAATTATATATTGCAAATTATTCAGATATAAAATATGTACCTGTAATTCGGGGTGTCTACGTGGATTTCTCATTTCGTGATACAAGGGCAACACTAAGAACACCCGGAGCACCTCGGCGTCTGGCGGGGACGCTTTCATCTTCTTTATTATGTTCTCCGTTAGGTGGCCGAATATCTGAAAAGGAAGCCCGATCAATAATTCGATTAATTGTAGTAACAGCATATAGCCCCACTGCTGGGCGAAGAGAGTATCAGAGCATAGTCTACCACGCGACCCCACTGCGGATTTGCGGATTTCAAATATTTATTTTAGAAATACTCTTTTTGTTATTATTTCTATAATATGCAGGTTTCCTCACGATGTTTTCCCTCATCGCCGAGCACGTGATAAGTCAGCACTTAAAATTAACAATTTCATTTCGCCGGCGATCGCACTCAGGTTGCCCGAGTGAATCGAATTAAAGGCGAGCGTTCGAACACTGAGATATCGCGGCTCAATCATCATTGTGTCACAGATAAATCAAATTGGAGTGCCTGTTTGTAATCTTAAAATAACCGCTATATTTATAATAACCGTGCAACACGGTACACATACCAAAATAACATTTTTTACAATTTTTGTCTGTCTGTCTGTTTGTTCCGGCTAATCTCTGAAACGGCTGGACCGATTTGGACTGACTTTCACAGGCACATAGCTGATGTAATAAGGAGTAACTTAGGTTACTTTTATTTTAGATTTTTTTTATTTTAAATTCCACGCGGACGACGTTGCGGGCACAGCTAGTTGTGAATAAAACTATTTAACTGATTTTCAAATTGCCAACGTTTCGAACCCTTTTCAGTGTTCAATGTCACGGGACAAAATGACATGATATACATTTCACAACGAACAATAGCCATAATAATACATCCAATCCCACACACATAAGCTATGTGTTTGCTATAGACGAGTTCTCGAATCTGCTGGCTAAGGCGTCTCGCTGCCGTCGATTATTATATCGGCCTTGGAAAACTCACGAGATCCTTTATGGAGGAGTTCTCAAATCGGCTGATAAGGGCGAAAGCCTCTTCGGCCCTCTTCAGGTCGACGCCAGGCACCTTGGTGTTGCAACCGAAGTGGCCGCTCTCCGCTGCCAAGAAGGAGCCGTTCAGGCAAGCGAGCGAACCGAACACGGTCTCCAAGTAAGCCATGAGATCCTGTTAACGACAAGCGAATAGCAACTTTATTACAATATCTAATAAGTTATCAATATCATTATTCTTATTAGCGGACTGGGCAGACGTCCTGTACGCACGACATAAATCCGATAACTTAAAAAAAATATATGAATCTAAACCATTCTCGAACCGACCTGAAAACATAAAAATTTCATTAAAATCGGGCCAGGAGAAGTTCAGTACACACGTACAGTAGAATTATATATATAAAGATTAGCAATGACTTGCGACGATCTAAGGGTTCCGGATTGGAGTGAAACGTCAGTTAGTTAAATCTTGACGTTGCACTTTACTTTCATTTATATCTCTTTTCCTTTTCTTCTTATTCCTTCCACATCCGTCCCGAACTGACTGAATCGCCCGTCTAGCGCGCATGGGGCCCCCTTTTATGCGTAGAATTTCGATCGTCTTTTCTTTTAAAAAGTTCTACAAATATGTTGGATTTTTTAGTTCGCCTCTTCAGTTGCATGTTCCGGAATAAGAACCCTCTTTTACTATAAAGGAATAATTTTAATTATTCGGCGGTAGGACCACGCAACAGTGTTCGCTGTTGCACGGATGGGCAGGTCCGTCTGGGTTAGTACCATGACCTCACAAAAGACCGACGTGAAGTAGTAGTGTTCTGCGTTTCATCTGGTGAGTGAGGTAGCCGGGGTCCAATTAGAAATTAAGAGGTTCAACGAGGTGGCAACGCAGTTCGTTTTCCACTTCCTCACATTAATTCACAAAAATTATAATTAAATAAAGTACGCCATTCGAAACGGTCAAGACGGAATTGACAATCAAGACGTCAACGCCGTGATCGTAACGGACTGTTTTGTTTTATTAGCACTCTTAATAAAAACGATAACTATTAATAAATACAAAATAGAATTGATTTGAATTGAATTGGTAATACATAAGTATCGATGTTCTGTACATATTCAATTAGTAAGCCTGATTCAATAAATAAACAAAACGTATGTGCCCTTTTTTGAGGGTGCAGTTACACATACGTTTTGCTTAAAACACCAAATTTTAATCAAAGAAAAAGAACTCTTAGATGATTATTTAGCACAGTTTTTCCGAGGAGCAGTTGCCAAGGTATTGACTTCGTCGTCGGGGTTCGTGGGTTCAATTCTCACACCGGACAACTATTTGTGCTACCCGCAGATAGTTGTTTAGCATCTGAGTGTTTGTCCATGTGAAATTTATGTTTGTAAAACGTCCGTAAAACACAGGATAATGTCATCCTAAAGTGAGTTAGGCAAGTATCGATTGATATGCCGTCGTATTTTTTATGGCGATATATCGATATTTATTTTAACCTATCGAATTCGTGTCAATTTCTATATATTTTTAAGGCAACTCTGGTTTCGTGTTTAATTTTTTCAATTAAATACTAGAAATAAGGACAAATTAATTACGCTATTGTTTCGTCTACAAAACGTAAATAGATCGTTCATGGGGCAAAGTGTGCGCATGTATAATAAAATCACGCAGTCGATATTAAGTCTACCACTAGATCAATTTAAACGCAAAGTTAAAAGTGAACTTATGACTAAGGCATATTATACCATTGCGGAATATCTTGACGACGCAAATGTGTGGGATTAATACTGTTGATACTCACGTAGGCTAAAGTAAGATTTATACCTGTCCTATATTGTAAACTAATCGTTTTAAGAAAAGAGAAACCGCTGAGTTTCTTTCCGGTTCCTTCTCAACAGAAACTGCTTTCAGAACCAGTGGTAGCTAAATTGTTGACATTTCATAAGAACGCGCAAGCGTCTATGTAAATAAATATATTTTTGATTTTGATTTTGTATGTTATTAGATAATCTTTGCATGCTCCTCGCGCATCATTAAATTCAAAAAATCTATTCAACTATTTTTTTCAAGTCCATTGTTTTTTACGAATTTTGAATGGTTTATAATGTATGAATGCGAAAACAGACGATATTTCGATAATTATCGATACTTATTCAAAATGTCGATACGATAAATATTGATATATTTTTATGTAAGAAAGTGGCAAACGATCTGGCGGTTCACCCGATGTCAAGTGATAACCGCCGCCCATGGACATTTGCAACACCCGTATGGTTGCAAGTGCGTTGCCACCTTTGAATTAAGTGGGCCCCGGCTGAGGCCCGGAGTGAGGATTCACCAGACGAAACGCAGAAGTGTTACACTTCTACCTCACGCCGGCCTTCTGTGAGGTCGTGGGTACTTACCCGGACGGACCTGCCCATTCGTGCGAGTGTTGCGTGGCCCGACCACCAACATACCTGTTTCTTTACTAGCCCATCCCTAAAGTGAGGACAATGTTTAAAAAAAAATGAAAAGTTTATGTAAACTCAAACTCGACTCACTTGGTTGACCGCCTCGTCGTCCTTGAACATCTCGCAGGCGGCGAGGCGGGGCAGGCTCAGCGTCAATATCTGCCTCCTGGGGTCGGGCATCCGTAGGTCGACGAGTGCGCCCCTGTCGCTGCTGATGACGAGGAAGCTGTGGTCCCCGCCGGCGAACACCCTTATAGCGCCGCCGAGCACCTCCGGATTGAACTGGGGACAAGGAGACACCGAATTTATCCGGCGCCGTCGTCGCAAACACACGGGGCGGATGTGCGTTAGCAACTGATCTAGCTACACCGTTGGACCTGACACATGTGTGTGAAACGGCTGTGATGATTACTGCTTACTTACGTACTGCTCAATAAAGAACGGTGTATAAAAGTAACAGTCGATAAAGTCCGACTGCTCTCTGTACAGAGGGTGTCAGGGCATAGTCCACCACGCAGTAACGCTGCGGATTTTCGGATTTCCCATATCTTCGAAATATTTTTTTTGTTATGATTTCGAAAATATGCGGGTTTCCTCACGATGTTTTCCTTCACCGCTGAGCACGGTGTATGGATATAGTAAACGGTTTACTTCTTTAGAGTAGATAAGTAAAAATTTATCTCTTGGCGATTAGGCTCGTTTAAGTGTCATAATATGGTAATATTATAGAGATATTTTGCTGATAGTCTGGTTTTAAATGTTACACACACAGAATAAAATGGTATAAAAGATTGTACAAAGCACTAATCACTAAAATGGTTCAGTAGTTTAAGAATTCATCGCGGACATACAACGTGATATGAAATTTTTATATACAGCGTGTCGTTACCATCGCGACAAAATATTAACATAAAAAATATTAACGTTAAAAAAAATCCATAATTAAAAAAAAATTTCTTTCGAACAAAGTAAATAAGTAAAAAAGAAACAAAATTTGTAACATCCTATACATCTCGCGCCATAGCGTCGCATTACAAGCCTCTCCTTCTAACAGGATGTTTGGTCTCTTTTAAATTCATTCAACCCATTCATATGCTTTGTGACCTTTACAAATTAACTTTACGTTACAGCTTTATACGTAAGGGTGTTCTAAAATTGTTTGTTTTGGAAAATTTAATAACTCTGTAAATATTGATGTTTAAAGAATGTAAATGTTTAATACAATTTTAAAAAGTTATCCTCTATATGTGTGTTCATTTATTGTCGCGGTGGTAAGGACACGCTGTATATAAAAATAAGATTATGTTGATGTAAGGTTAAATTCTAAATTTATGTGAAAGGTAACGGTAAACAGCATTTTTCTAAATGAACCGCCATGTGTTAAGTCCAACGAAACCATATACCGATAAAAAAGCTAAAAAAAACTAAAACAACTATATAACGTTACAAAATAAAATATCGCTCAAATTAAAACAAGTACAATAAACAATTTAAAATGGAATTAAAAATAACTCAACGTCAAATTTAGGGGACCGCGCGGCGCCTTGTTTAGGAGAACTCCTAGCCCTCTCGATCTTTGGTTTCTTCTTGGGCTAGGGAGAGGACACCAATCCGTTAGTGTTTCCTATTTTGAACACAAAAACCTAAATTGTATAGCGGCGACTATCGGAGCTTTCCCACGTGACTAGAGGTTTCAATATCGGTGCTTTTTTCTGGTCCCTGAATTGCGGAGACGTCAAGAGATAATCCCGGGATCCCGATATATTGTCGGGATTACAGGCAAGTAACGAAAAGTCACAAAAATCAGCTTTTTGTTAATCTTTTTATTGACAAAATAATAAAAATTTTATAAATAATCGGTCAACAAGGGACTAATTTCCTCTTGAACTGAAAAATCTTCTATAGTAGGCTCAAAATAAACAATCAACTTCTGTCTCCTACCAAACATTCCCAACTTTCAAAACAAACATGAAGTTACAACTTACGCATAAATTCCTGAAATAAGCGTGCTATAGATATAGAAGAACCAGATATAAGTTTACTGAGAAAAATAAGTTGTAATAAATCCCACTTCAAAGTTTCGAGAAGTTTTTTTTTTGAGATTATTCAAAGTTTATTAAATAAAAAAATGAGTTAAAAAATGACGTCATATTCGAACAACATTCAAGTTACAAGGTACGTCGCTTAAGACAAATTGGAAACTTGCAGTTCTAACATAACTATGTTAAATAACAATCCAAAAATTAAAACTTAATTGAACAAGTTTTACTACGGTCACTATTTATAATAATGAAAATGAACTACTTAAATTTTCAGAAAAATCAATTGAAACAGGATGCAAAATAGAGGCTATAACCACGGTATCACTTGCGGTTTTCTCAAAGATTGACGGTAAAAGTTTCGTTTTAACTATTGAAATGAATGCGTTGCGTTGTTTTTGCAATATTAAAAAAATCAAAGAAATATTATTAAAATACGGGATTTACTAGATCCAATCTTCAAAATTTTCGGAGATAATAAACGACCGGGGGAATCCCGGTGTCGAAACCTCTACATTTCACATTAGAAAACTTAAGCATATAAAAATAAAAAAATATACTTTGAGCTTTAAGCGCAGTCAAGACTGAAATTCTTCCATTGCTATTATGTCTGTATTTGAAGGCCCCAGTACTTATATGCCGAGCCTAGACACAGAGGCAAATGAAAAGTTAAGTACTACGGATGCATTGATAAGTTACAACTGATGACTTCATGCTACATACAAACTAGAAGATATGCGTTTATTGCTTACGTGCTATCTACGTGAGGAAGATAATGTGTATTATGTGCAACGAAGTTGGAAGGCATTAAATTAATAATAATGAGGCATTCATATTATTATTCACCTTACTTTGTACCGCATTTTCGGTCTGCATGGAAAACAAGAAAATAATTTCTTAGTACATATCTATTAATTGTGGAAATATTTATAATGAATACGATAAACAGTCCTTAATAATAAAATTATACACGAGATAGATTAGCAAATGAAACATTTAAATATATATATTACTTTTAATAATCCCTTCTGGAATCTTTTAACTTAGTACACATTTGTCTTATACTTACTTATACACTTTTATTTCACAAGGTGGAAACCGATGTTAAGTAATGGGCCTATGGACATTCATAAGACATGTGTGGAAGGGGTTGGGTAGTAAGTCCAGGCGACTACTGCTACCTAGAAGCAGTACGGAAAGTATCTTCCCTTCGAAAACACTTCCCTTGCAACAAAACACAGAAAGATGACATTAACCTTTGTTGGAAGGACGGTTTACGTACATAAATTACGTGGACAAACACCCAGAACCTAAACAAATATGTGGGTCACACAAATTGTTGTCCCGTGTTGCAATCGAACACATGAGCCCCAGCCAATACCTTGGGCTATTGCGTCACGGAGTCATCACCTGTTTGGTTACAGGTCCGTTGGAAAACTTTAAAAGATTGGACCTCAATCAGCAGACGGAAAGGAAAAGTTGTACTAAACTTTTGGATTTTCGGACCTGCCCATTGTGGAACAAGGGAAGCTCCTATATATTTCTACCACAGTCAACAACCACACCCCATCGTAAGATGTCTTTTAGGTAAAGATACGACGAATACATCATTCCCGTCGCTTATCTACAATATTATTAAGAATCATTCGTCTAAAGCAATATCGATAAAAAAATTAAAAAAACCTGCTTGTGATTTAAAAGTTTGAGAAAATTATCGGCGTGCAAAATTCAAATTATAAAAAGGTTTTTAAACATCATCATTGCATCAATCAAACCATCACTATGCCGCGCGAGTTTAACTAGCGAAAGAGACAGAACCAACTCACCGGCGAATCCTCGTTGGGAGTGAAAAGGACGGGTGTAGGCACCAAGGCGAAGGCCATGTGGGGGCAGCCCAGCTGGCCCCTGGCACCATAGCCGCAAGCCAGGATTCGATCCCCGACGCGGCACAATACGTGGCGGCGCCCACAAGCGACTTGTGTGACCGTGCTGCCCATCAACTCCATAACCTGTATCCAAAATGTTTAAATGGTAATAATTTTCCCTTATTTTGTAAGTTGCCCTTTCGAAGTTGATTAAATCAACTTCGAAAGGTCAGGTTCTAAATTCAGATGTTTATTTATTTTATTAAATTCGGGCATAACTCCGTCATATATAGACGGAATCCCATTTTGTACGTAGGGGTTTTATTCCGAAATGGCCCCATTTAAATTTCGTAAGGATTTGATGATAAGTTTCGGAGTCGGACAATGGAACTCTTCATTACATGCTTGCCAATCACACAATGTAATTAAGTATCAAAATTTTTATTGGGGCCTTTTTCTAATCTTCCACTAAATGGGGGCACAAAATGTTCATGAATCTTCAAAATCTGTTGATGAATTTCTGGCGAATACAGCGTAAATCGTCAATTATTGAGCCTATTTATTAAGAGTAAACAACTAGCCTTACTGTAAAGCGGTACGCAGGGTCGGAGTACAGTCACATTTACCTCGTATTTTTTTTTGTAAGAATTACATTAGGAGGCAAATTTCCGTACTTTGCAATTTCAAGAGATTAATGGATTGTATTAATTATGTAAATAAATAGATGAAAAGCAGCGACTAACTTTCCGCACCGTTTAGATCAATTTATTTTATGGCTCTGGAAAAATGCTGCTCTATCAACAGTGACCTCTTTGCCAAAATCATCTAGATCTCCAATAATCGGGTATTTTGAACCTAGTCTAAGCGCTGTTAAAATGTGAGCAGACCTTCTTCGCTTGCCAACCATATAATAAAACCCAAAAGCGTTCCTGTTTTATGTCCAACTCTTTTCAAGGTTAAGGCTCTGGAATATATGGTTCTATACGGCTCTGGAACTCGGTACCCACCTCTATCAGAAATTGTTCGTCTAAAGAGACTTTCAAACGTGCCGTCTTTAAATGTTAGAGAAGGTGACAACGACCTGGCGGTACATCTTGTTAAGTGATAACCGCCGCCCATTAATATTTGCAACACTCGTAGGGTTGCCGATGGGTTGCCGACAGACGAAACGCAGAAGTATAACGCTTCCACTTCACACCGATCTTCTATGAGCTCGTTAAGAGGAATACAAAATTGTGACCTGAACTCAAATGTTGTTCTTAATATAAAATATTGTTGTATTTGTTGTATTCAAATACAATAAAATACGAAATATGCGTTGACTTCAATGCTCGTTTAATAAACGGATGACACACACTGATTATTCTCAGTTTACCCTCACTATTCAAACATTACAAATACATAGTTTTATTAGTTTATTTCTTCAGTTTTTTTTTTGTGATAAGTTGCCTAGCGAGCAGACGGTTCACCCGATGTTAAGTGAATACCGCCGCCCGTGGACATCTTCTAGATCCGAGCATTCCAGATGCGTTGACAACCTTTTGAAAATCGAACCACTCACCAGACGAAACGCAAAAAGTGTTCTACTTCCACTTTACGCCAGTCTTCTGTGAGGTCGTGGTGCTTACGCGGACGAGCCTGGCCATTCGAGCGAGACACAGTGCTATCACGGCTCTGTATATACATATACAGCGTGTCGTTACCACCGCGACAATAAATGAACACACATATAGAGGATAACTTTTTAAAATTGTATTAAATATTTACATTCTTTAAACATCAATATTTACCGAGTTATTAAATTTTCCAAAACAAACAATGTTAGAACATCCTTACGTATAAAAGTGTAACGTAAAGTTCATTTGTAAAGGTCACAAAGCATATGAATGGGTTGAATGAATTTAAAAGAGAATTTAAGAAGAGAATTTAAAACATACTATTAGAAGGAGAGGCTTGTAATGCGACGCTGTGACGCGAGTTGTATAGGATGTTACAAATCTTGTTTCTTTTTTACTTAATTAGTTTGTTTGAAAAATATTTTTTTTTTTAATTATGGATTTTGTTTAACGTTAATATTTTTTTATGATTATAGGCAAGTAGCATTATACGTGTGTTCATTTATTGTCGCGATGGTAACGACACGCTGTATATGTGTATATTTAAGCATTTTAAAAAGTATACCTTCTTAGGAACCAGTTCATCCTTGGTTGTCCCATGCCCAGTTTGGCCATATTCCCCAGAACCACATGTAAAAACACCACCATCTAGTGTCAGAAATGCAGTGAAATCTTCACCACAAGATATATGGCATACCTAAAAAGAATATTTTCAATAAACAGCTTAAATGAAGCATGGAAATATCAGGATTTTCCAAACTATTATTTTTAAAATAAATTCAAGGTTTGTAACTTTTGTAATCTTAATATATTTCAAAAAAATAATATTAACAAAATCGTTTTAGCTGCTAGGTTACCATACTAAAACTTCCTCTATATAATTCTTGGCTAAAAGATGATAGGTAAAATTTTCATAGCACAATGAGAGTAAAGTGTACAATATTGTTAAAAGCCTGTTCTCACCACAAAATATATAGAACTGAACTAACCTAACCATAAAGAAAATTTAAACAATCAATATTATATATTCAAACCATCTGTAATACCTTGACATTTCTCAATGTTTTCAAATGAGTGGGATAGCATCTGCTCTCCCTATCCTGCAAGCCTAACTGGCCATTGTTATTTTTACCCCAACCAAATACTGCACCTGATCTGTAACGAGAACTCAGAATAGACATTCCCATATGGTTGAATTACAGATTATTTTAAAACAACAATTTTTTTAACACAGCACTAGGTGTGAGTGTAGATTGGTATATTTCTTTCAAATGTGTCTGCTAATTAATTCTATCAAAAAATATATAAGTCAGTTCTAAAACTGTAATCCTTTTTTTACCTTAATATTTTCATTACACCCTAATTTATAAAAAAAGCTAACTAATCTACATTCATGAACATATTTTAACCAACTTCGTAAAGGAGGAGGTTATCAATTGGGATGTTTATATCTTCTTTGTGTATGTTCGAGCATAACTCCGTCATATATAGATGAATTTGTAAAATTCTTTTTTGTTTGAAAGGGTTTAATTACTTAATGGTCTCATTTGAATTTCATATAGGTCTGATGAAGTGCTTCGGAGATAGACAATGGAACTCTTCAAAAAATGACCACAAATCAACCGCAATTACTGCTATCACATAAATAACGTAAACTACTCCTTGTCTGACAGTGGGATAAATTCGAACTGAAACTCCTATCAACAGAATTCCTTGATGTTTGCAAAGCAATTCAAGTTGACTCATTGTCAAATCGCCAACACGATTAGTAATCTTTGTAAATAAATTTATAGCCAATCCAATGCAAACAAAACTAAGATGATTACTGTACTTGTCTTCATTTTCCTACCTCATTTAACCTAGGGAACATAAGGATCATTTTTAACAATGGATTTTTCGGGCTGGTCAGGCCTCACATTTGAAATAGTTAGAGATTTTCTTCCTTATTTGCTTTTATTCATTTTCCTTTTTTTGTCCCGATTTCAGTTTGACGCCGTATTCTCACACAAGCAACATCTTTGCTAGCAACATCTTCATTGTTGCTTAGCTTCTTTCTAATTTTTTTAGCAAAGTGTTATGGTATACAACCATTACCCATGGTGAACAATAGCACTGACTCCAAAAATTTTTAACATTTGTTAGGGGAACCTTTATAAGGTTAGATTTTCTAGATTAATTAATATTAGATTTAGTATTATTATAGAATTTTTAGTACTGTCTGTTCTTTTTTGTTATTTAGTTACAAATATTTGAAGAGTACTTACTTTGATAATACAAATGTATGGTTGCTACCACAAACCACTAATGTAATCGGAACACCAAGCAATGATGTTATCTGTTGTGGTGTAGTTTCCTTATTTGTCATATTTCCCAAGCCACACTGCCCATAACTATTTGCACCCCATGAATACAGATCACCATCTATGCAAAATTTTATTATTAATTCAGTATACATTTAAAAAAAGAAAATAATTTAATATTGTAATTTTTTTGTTCCATAAATTAATTTAGTTTAAATAAATTAAATAAAAAGAATAAGATTTTGGTTCATAGATTTTTTTATTCATAATTTCTATTGACATTAATATATTTACACTACCGGACCCAAAAAATGTTGTCCTGTACACACAACTTAAATATGACAAGTTATAAATAAAAAAGTTCAGTCCAGCCCTTTAGGAGGAGTTCAGTTACATACACATGTACGGAAGAATTATATATACATATAAAGATTAAATGATGTATACTTCTTAACATTGTTTTGTTTAATACTAAGGTTGACTTACTGTTTGTTAGTGCAATTGAATGATATGATCCACATGCAATCTGTATAACATTTTTGGTGGCTAAGAACTTTATAATTTTTGGTTTATCTTGAGCATGAGCACCAAGGTTGCTGCCCAGTTGTCCCATACTATCAGAACCCCAACTAAATGGTTGTCCCCACTCATCAAGAGCCATTGAATGTTGAATGCCACATGCTACTGTAGATACAGTACAACCTTTGAATGTTTCCACGAGATCTGAAATTCATTAAATTGTGACATATAAACTAAATATTTAATATTCATGAAAAAATCTTCAAATAGATTTATATTGAAAGAATGTTATGAGAAAAAATTTCATTTAATAAGCTAAAGAATGTATTGTATTAAACCAAATTATCTTTTTTATTTTCAAAATTCATTTTTAACATTTAAGGGCCCCAGCTACCTCTCTGACCAAACAATACAATGGTATAAATACCAATTTTATGTGACTTGTCAGTGAAACCAACCCTCTCATGAAATAGCAGAAACTACTGTGTTACAATTGCATTGACATGTCAACCAGTATACAATATAAAAACCAGTATAAAATACCATAATAAATTTAGTTACTTCAATTTATGTTAATTTACATTGTAAATAAAACTATTTTACATGTGTCACATATAGTTTATTTATATATTGTCAGCTGTGAAACATCTAAATGCTTTCACCGCTGTGTAATGTGCAAATTCATCCCAGAAAGGCCCAAGGCGAATGGTCGTAATTGTACTTCAAAAGATAACAATATGAAAGAAAATGAGGTATCTACGGGCCATTATTTTTTGATTGGTAATACATCTGAGACCCACAGATGCTATAAATGTCCATAGGTGGCAATAATCACTTAACACCATATCTTATTGCTTGCCACTTTCTTACTCCACAAAAAATAAACTGTGGTAGTTTAATAAGTATATTCAATTCATATTTATATCATATTTGCAATACCTGGTGATTCTCCATCGGTGCTTTCCGTTTGTCGTCCTAATTGTCCAACATCATTATTTCCACATGAATACAAGTGTCCTTGATTAGTGAGATATAAAGTATGGAATTCACCAGCAGCTACAAGTTGTAGGTGATTACTTTCTTTCCAATTTGATAATGTTGGTTTTATAACCTAAAACATACATATGGTATAAATAATTAAAATATTACTTATTACTCGAAACAAAGTTCATCCAATAAATAACTTTTAATTATTTTATCATTATTGATATATGAAAAATAATTTTAGAAATAATAAATTATTGATTAAAGTGGAATGCGACATTTTTAAAGTTATTCTAATGTATTTACCAGATCTTTTGCACCAGGTCCATTGATACATAATTCATGATGAGTTGCGTTACCCCAACAAAACATTTTTTTTGTTCTAATGTCTATTGTAAAATGATACACAAATCTGATAACATATAAAGTAACCTATTCGAATTTAATGTTAAGACATTAATCATAACAAAAGGGTTGAAGAATAAATTCAGTTAATAACCAACACGACTAATAAGTATCGAAAATTTTTCATACTCATTTTAGTGAACAGTTTAAAGGGATTATATGTACGGTAATATTTAGCAAACGAATGAAATGAAATATAATTATGTCTAAATTATCAATCGAGTCGAGAACAATCTTATTTTCGACACAGACGATAAACAATGAGACCACAGACGTTTAAATTTTTACAATAATCAAAGCAGCAGAGTTCAGAATTGCAGATGTACATGAATGTATAATTCTTTAGTAAAGAAATAAGGGTCAAGTGCGAGTCGAATTCATGCGCCGAGGGTTTCGTTCCTACCCATTATACCGCCATATTAAAATCGGTATCATTTTAATTGGTGGCTAAGTTTTAAGTTTGTATGTACTGTGTGTGAGATTATTAAGCGTGTCCTCTAAATTGTATGAGCGCCCATATAACTCAGAGGACTATCTTAATTGGCGTCAACTATGTATTTATGAGTCGTGATAGCTCAGTGTCCGGGCGCTCGTCTTTAATTCAATATACTCGAGCAACCTAAGTTCGATCCCCGGTGCCAATGAAGTTTTTAGCTTTAAGTGCAGACTTATCACGTGCTCCGCGCTGAACTGCATCGTGAGGAAACCTGCATATTTTCTAAAAAATAACAAAAGAAATATTCGAAGATATATGAAGTCCGCCAATCCACAATGGGGCCGCGTGGTGGACTAACCCTAATACCCTCTGTATAGAGGAGGCCTTTGCCCAGCAGTGGGACATGTATAGGCTGTTACTTTTATGTATGTATGGGGACATTCTTAAATTTTCAACAGTTTTTATTTTTTGAAATTTTTCCTTTATTTGTGCTGTAAGACTTGTTCTTTTGGCTTTTGCCAAATTTCGTGATTGTAGATCAACGGAAACTACCATAGAGGTTTTCGACCCAAAGCCTATAGTAGTTCTGGTTGACCTAGAAATATCAATTTTGTTTAAAATCAAGGTCTTACAACAAAAGTAAAGGGAAAATTCCAAAAAATTTGAAAATCCGAAAAATTTTAGTACTTACAATCTTCCTCATATCTTTTTATCGTGTTGACTCAGGTTCAGACCTTGATTTTTATACACCTAATAGTGTGTCAGTGTCTGGTATAAATTTCAACTTGCTAGGTCCACCCGTTCCTGAGAACATCGGTGGTGAAAAACGGACAGACAGACGGCCTAAAGAGTGATCTTATAAGGGTTCCTTTTTTTACCTTTTAAGGTACGGAACCCTAATTACAAAGCAATATATAATTAAAATTACCATTAATTTTTTAAACAAAGACAAACTTTAATTAGGAAATTGCTGTTTTAATGAAATGTTAAAATATTTTTATTTTCAAATAATTTTTAATTCACAAAGTAATCACCCATGCAATCGATGCATCTTTGCTAACGCAGTGGTAGTTTATTGAATACCTTTTTGTGAAAATCATCTAGACGGTAGGCACCAAACTCATCAAAGGCATTTTGTGCTACCTCTCGGGAATTGAATTTTTTTCCCGCTTAAATGTTGTCCAGGGTCTGGTGAGTATGGCGGATGAGGCAGAGCGACAGACAATCTCCAACTCTTGCTTGAAGATTGTCTGTCGTGGAGTATGGGTTCGCGCATTGTCGTGAAGGAGCAGAGGGGACGACCGATTGACCAAAGTTGGTTGCAGATGTGCGAGCTTTTCCATTATTGTCTTCAGTTCTTCACAGTACACATCTCAATCATATCGGTTTGTTAAATCCTGTAATGAATCCCATCATCATCAACTTTCTAGAGATCATTTTTCTTTTAGGGCATTGCCATGGTGCTGAAACTTGCCGAGTGCTTTTGCTTCTTCTTCTTTCTCCTGCACTTATTCCACACTATATGGGGTCGGCACAACATGTCCTTTCTTTCCAATTTCCTTTATCAGCCGTCATCTCAATACTGACCCCTTTCACAGACATATCATTCTTCACACAGTCCACCCAAATCTTTCTCGGTCTTCCTCTAGCTTTGCACCCTCCAACCACATTCATATTCATCACTCTTCTAGTCACATGACTTGATCCCTTCGAATAAAGTGCTCATACCATGTCAATCTACCACTCCTTATTTTCTCAGTCATTGGTGCCACTTTCAAGCTTTCCCTTATATATTACTCATTTCGTATCTTATCCTTTCTGGTCACACAACATATCCATTTCAACATTCGCATCGAGGTTCATTTTTCAAGTCAAAATTTGCAGAACGAAACCGGGCAAACCTGTAAAGGGATGTGCGTTTGTTTGTAAGTAAACGCTGTTGATATTACGTACTGATTGTGCAGAATTGGTGCCTCATAGGTGAACTCATATTGCATACTTAGACGATTTTTTATAGTAGCCTTTATGATGAAAAATGTTCGAATGAAATGAACATACAAAACATATACGAATTTCATGTTTTTAAAACAAAACTAATTTGACTTTAGAATTCAGAGCCAATCAAAAATTTTTCTTTTTGTTTGAAATGGCCAGTAATGAAGAACGGCAATTTCATAAGTAAGATATAAGAATATCATAAGTATTATTTCATCCTCCAAACCTCAACCAAACACCAGAAATATTAGATAATGCTCTTCTAAAGAATGTCTCCTTAACGATCCACTGCCTAGAAGTATTTATCGCCCAGTCCTTAAAGTCAGACCATGGCACAATCAAGTTATAAGTCCGTCCGTTAATGTACTCTCAACCCAGTGATCTCACATATTGGGCTGCTGAACGTTGATCCATCTGAGTGTGTGACACGTGAAGTGAAAACCAGATGTGGCGTGTCCAACTTGGTTGTTTATTGTTTCGACGAGGCCGTCTCTAAGACCGACCACGCTTGTAGAGGTGTGGCCACTTTCGTTAGGAGGAACCTCATATATAACGAGTTGAAGATGCGCACGTTTATTAGAATGCGAACAATCAGTGTAGCTATTTTTTTCAGTGGGCAAGTGATACGCATTTTATCTATCCGGTATCCGCAGCATCTTTAACATTTCATTCGCAACTGTTATAATACAAACATACAAGCCGACTCCAATAATCTTCCCGACGCCCTTGACATTGTGCTGTGCCAAAGGTTTGTGCCTTGTTCAATTAGAGATCCTTTACGATTCAAGCACTCAACACCTTTCCTCATTAATTACCGTTAGTCTTAGTGCGGACTAACTGGCTCCGAGAAACTCCAAGTTCAGAACCTATTGGGGAGTATGCGATAGCAATGTCTATGTTTAAATACGGCACTTTCGAAGTGAGATGATGTGGAGGTTGCTGCCCGCAGCTCAAGTGCAAAATGCGGAAGGAGTAGCAGGCGGCGACGTCGACGGCTGGAAGTGTAGATTCGGGACCGCCTAGAGGAAGAAATATGCATAATGGGCTTTATTAGGGTACAAAAAATTTAGGGCCATTTTGGGGGCATGAATAATTTTTCATGCATGACTTTTTTAAATGCCCAAAATGAGTAAGAAAAAATGAATGTAATTAATGATATGTTAGTTAATATTATGTACTCTTGTTAATTACATATTCTTGTAATGAAAAGTAATTACAACTAAGTTTTATTTCTGTCATTTAACAATATGTTTGAACACAATACCGGTATTTTAAGGGTTTTTTTCCTTTTGAAAATTACAATTTAGGATTATCTAGGGATTTATTTCATGTCGATTTCAGGGCCATTTTTTGAAGTTAAAACATCTTTAGACGAGTTGACTGTTAGGTAAAAAAAATCATGGAACTTGGGTCATCACCGAATGTTTTCCATGGGCTATATGTATACTGTGTATATATGTGTACTTTTTGGGTGAACAAAAAGCGTGAAAGTCGTGAATCGCGTCGTCGTCACCGAACGCTTTCCGTGAGCGTGAGCTATGTCAAAAAAAGGAATACACAAAAATATATTAAAAATTTAGTTATCGATATGATGTAAAAGATACTATTATTATCGTTCGGGGTGCCTATAATATAATAAATGTATTAAGTTGTTATGTATTGTTATTTCTTATGTGTATATGTCAAATTAAACATTATACAATTTTAATTTTGATATGGTTCTAGTTACTTCTGTCTACAGTCCTCATGAAGCTGCCTATGTTCTTTAATTAGTTGGCAACACTGTCACAGTCCCTAAAAATCATTAAATCGAACCCACAGACAGACCACAGAGACTTTGTATGGAATCGAACCAAACGGGGCGATCGAGACGGGACCTTGTTCCGCCATATTTGTTATTGAGGTCGATGAGAATTATTATTTACTTAGATATTTGATTTCTGAATAGGAAGTGCTTCAGAGTTCTATGTTTGTAATGTATCTTATTTCTTGTCATATTTATTTAGAAAGTTTTTGCCTTATTACATAAATCTACACCGTAAGAGGAGTATGCCAGTTTAGTCATCGTGGATACCCCCTGTGGCAATTCGCTGCAATCATCCAGCTACCTTTATTTTGAATTATTTGATAAATTAAGATAAAGTGGCGGGGGCAGCAAACAACAATGGAAATGGGGCACGAGAACCCGCCCCGATCCGACGCGACGTGGGATCGCCGTTGCTCGATTGGGAGGAAGGCGATCATTTCAGCTTTGAAGATTCCGAACGATTCGAAGAAGACTCGCTTTGTAGCTGGAGTTCAGAACCAGAGAGCCTGTGTAACAATTGGCGCGGATGGAAGAGGCCTGTTGTAGTCAACTCTTACAACAATCGTTCCGGAAAAAAGACCACTTCAGGTAACCCATTACAGCTGATCCTTTGTTCATTAGTTGGGAGTAAAAATAGAAAAAAAATACCTGTATTAATATCTTTATTTTAATTATTATTAGAATGTGAATTATTAGAAAATTAGCGTTATTTTTGAGTATCGTTTTAAAATATCTTTGAAAGTTTCGGCAATCATAATTACGTGTGTGTATACGTACGATGGCATAAAGAGCAGGTGCTGTGAAGTCATTTACCTTTGACTGCACCGAGCAGTTAATAATAATAGTTTTGATTTGAAATTACTGCCAATATCCATATGGGTTTTTCTTCTTTGTTTCAATCCCCAAAAAATTAACAACTTGTTTGATGATAGGTGCAGTTATGTACTATTTTGAATTTTAATTTTTCACATTTAGTAAAAAATGTTGCAAGTGATTTGTATTTTATTTCTTTTTGGAGATAATCTATTAGTTTTAGGTATTTTAATACTAATTACGAATTTTAATTAGGTAAATGTAAATAACTTTAACTCCGGCGTAATTCAATTAAAATAAATTTTAAACGATAGAGAAAAATCTCTAATGAATTAATCAACAAGCAGAATTCGGCGGTCGCTTATAGTTTTCGAGAAAAAAATATTTAAAACTTGTTTTTTGTACTAAGAAATCCACCATTTTATTTGTTTGACTTCAAAAACTCAATACACAGTTCTGCCAACATGATAAATATAGGAAGCGGGCGACATCATACACGTATCGATATTCCGATTTTTTTTAAATTTAATGAGTCACAGAACCGACACAGAGCGAATCCGACTCGGATAGATTAGGTTAGAAGGTTCAGCTGAACCTTCGATGTTATGTTTTTTTTTATGACCACCAAGAAATACGAGCTTAATTGACATATTGACAATAAAAAAATGGCAGATTTCTATAGTAAAAATCACACTATTTCATTATTTATTTTTTCGAAAACTATAAGCAACCGCCAAATTCTGCTTGTTGATTAATTCATTAGAGATTTTTCTCTATTGTTTAAAATTTATTTGATTTGAATTACGCCGGAGTTAAAGTTATTTACATTTACCCGTAATTATTTCTTTTGTTTAAGGATCATATATTGCATATTTTTAATTAAATTTAAATTTTCAATTGCATTTAATGCTTAACTTCAGTTTTAAGGATATAATGGTAGAAATAGGATCAAAGTACATGGGACAGACTGGCTTCTTATTTTTACTAGGTTGGTTAACCAAGTATTAGAAACTATAAACATCAACCATTTTTGCTTAGGTTATGTTAGGTTTTACTGAATCTTTGCTTGCTCTATTTTGGAGAACATATTGTTGCCAACCATACTTTATAATCATCTTTATTTTTGCTAAATATACTTCAATATTTTTGCATAAAACTATATTATTTTCAACCTTTACTGTAAGGCATACATTAAAAGACTTACAATGTATGTACCTATATGGATGAGTACACTCAACACTTACTTATACTTCTAACAAGGAGATCCTCACACATGTTGGATGGGGATTTCCATGATTTTTGGTGGTAGGTTGGTGTGGGGATATTAGGGTCAACTGGGCCTTTGTTAAAAAGATATTAAGGGTTAAAGTTGGATGGGTAATTTATGTACTAGAGAAATTCTCACTCGAATTGCTATATATTATGACTTAACAAAAACCTTTTTATGCCAAGAAAATTTTATCACCTTTTTATGTTCATATGATAATTTGCCAAACTGTTATCATATATTTTTTTAAACAGAGAATCTTTGTGGGATCAGTGTGTGTGCTCTACTGTGTTTTCCCTGATTTTAATTTAAATAAAAAGTTACTTTTTAACCGACTTCAAAAAAGGAGGATGTTTCTCAATTCGACCATATATATACAGCGTGTCGTTACCATCGCGTAAATAAATGAAAACACGTCTAACACTACTTGCCAATAATCATAAAAAAATATTAACGTTATAATAAAATCCATAATTAAAAAAAAATATTTTTCAAACAAACTAATGAAGTAAAAAAGAAACAAAATTTGTAACATCCTATACAACTCGCGCCACAGCGTCGCATTACAAGCCTCTCCTTGTAACAGTATGTTTTGTCTCTTTTAAATTCATTCAACCCATTCATATGCTTTGTCGCCTTTACAAATGAACTTTACGTTACGGTTTTATACTGTAAGGGTGTTCTAAAATTGTTTGTTTTGGAAAATTTAATAACTCTGTAAATATTGATGTTTAAAGAATGTAAATGTTTAATACAATTTTAAAAATTTATCCTCTATATGTGTGTTCATTTATTGTCGCGTTGGTAACGACACGCTGTATACATATATTTTTTATGTGTGTTCGGGGATAACTTCGTCATTTATGAACTGATTTTGATGATTCTTTTTTTGTTGGAAAGGAGATATCCCAAGGGTGGTACCATGATAAGGAAACCCAGATCAGATGATGGCATCCCAGAGAAATCGAGTGCAATCCTCAAATGTTATAAGTGTTGACAATGCTTTTTCCTGTTTGAAGTCTGTTTTTTTTATTAAAATTTTTAATTGAGAATAAAAAAACATCTTCCAAAAATTTAAATATAGTAAAATACTGTGAGTGTGTTATAGAAGCATAGAAAAATAAATATAAAATATATCTTTCAGAGGAGAAATAAATGAAATTTTGAAAAATAGTTTTTATTCTTCTTTATACTTTATTTTTTCTCTACTTGAAAAATGTGATACTTTGTTTTCGTCCCAAACAGTTTGCAACTCTACCATATGTACTATGGTTTTATTATGTAAAATTATTATGAAAAAATAAGTCTTTCTGTTAGTTTTTTTGTTGATTTAAATGTTACAGTTCTTAATAATTGTTTATTAATTTTGAAATAATTTATCAAATCTTATAGGATATATATAGGAAGTCTATTCCCTTATTATGAATGATGAAAAGTATGAAACATCAAGAACTTTAAAAAGATGGTTGTATTTCTTTTCCAGAAAATAAAAACCTTTTAACATTAAGTGAGTTAGCAGCAAAGTGTGTGGCCTGCTATATACCTTTTGAACTTGTTGAACATGTGTATCCACCTGTACCAGAACAGCTACAGCTTCAAATAGCTTTTTGGAGTTTCCCTGACAGTGAAGATGACATCCGCCTATATTCATGTCTTGCAAATGGATCTTGTGATGAGTATCAAAAAGGAGAACAAATATTCAAAGACCAGTCAGTTAAAGACGCCTTACAAATTGGTGAGTGCCTCATTTTGCATAAATTTAATTTTTTTGATGATAATCACTAATAATTTTCTTTCATAAAAGTTTTTTAGTTTCATAACACAAAATATTTTTGAACGGTTTTCTTGTGTTAAGAAATTGAAATTTAAATGAGTACTCAGATAATTGTTGGTTCTATAAAAATTATGTATAATGAACACTTATAAGATTCAATGGAATTGTATTTTAAGCAGTGGCCTGTAAAGTGGTAAAACTTCAGCAATTAACTTGTATCGGTATAACAAAACACGAGTTTACATTTATACAGTCTCCCATTCCTATTACTATAGGAAGTGGTATAAAGAATTAATATTTAATATTATAATAATAGTTCCTTTTTCAGGATTCCATTTATCTGCTACAATTTCTATGACTTTGTCTAGAGATCAATTTAATGTAGCAGTGACATTTGATAGACAAAGGATTTCCTCTTGTAATTGCACGTGTTCATCATCAGCACATTGGTGTTCTCATGTTGTTGCTGTGTGTCTCTACAGAATACATTGTGTAAGAAACCCACAGGGATTTTTATTTTATATTTTTGTGAATGCAAGTACTTAGTAGTAGAATAGTATATGATAAAAATGACATCTTTTATACCTTTATGACTTTAATTTATATAGGCTAATTTATCTTTAGGGGAAGATTTGAAACCTCATATAATTTTCTTCATAATATTTCACAACTTCAGTAACATACTGTAACAGCTTTTTTCGCTAGTTGTTTATGTGTGTGCTTCGGATGTCCGAACTAAGAAACAGGTAAAAGAAGTTATCATGATGCATGTTCATATTTCTCTTTCTAACAAAGCTATATGATTGATGCAAGAAAAAATATGAGTGTGCTTTAGACCATACAACTGAAGTAAGAATAGAATAAGAATAATCCTTATTAGAAATTACAAAGGTTCTTACAAAAATTAAAAGCACACTTGTGGTGAATAATATAGTTAATACTAAATAATCTATGAACTGAACGGTTCTGACCTCCTAAGTAGGAGACTCAGTTTCATTAGCCCAATTTAGTGAATAGAAAAACTTCTTAAGCTCCATCTTAATGTATGTAATGATTTATGTTCCTCCATGTATATACACGGTGAAATTGAAGTCTTGAGTATCCTTTTAAACTAAGACTACATGATACTAGTATCATATAGACTAAAATTTATGTTAATGAAAAATCATTTATGCATTAAGAACGTAAGGCCGGAAATCCTCAAAAATCTAGAGTTAACATTGAGTATAATATTTTGTGGTCACATTCCAATACGTTATTATTGCAAATAATCCGGAAAAATAATAAAAACACGTGACGAAGAAATAGGTCAATAACCTGAAGAGAATTATGTAATAATTCTAGTTCAATGTCTTTAGGTACGGGCGGCTGCCAGCCCGGCACAAAGCTAAAGGCGCTCCGCCCGTCCCGCTCTTCCCCGCCCGCCAATTTCCCTAACTAATTGAACCCTTGCTACTTGCGCCAGTGGTGTAACGACTACGCGCATGCGTTGACGCATATTTTGGATTCGAAATAAGTCACGCGCGCATTTCCTGGCCTTGGTACTTTTGGGTCTGCAGTTTACTTAGTGCTTTAATGAACAGATTGTTTAAACAATGCCTTGACCGGTTGACGTGCAAGATGGAATGTGTAAAAGGTGGTCAACAGTATTTTCAATTGGTTTTACTATACCATCGCATACAAAAGTTAGTACAAACTCAAGAAATGTTCTATCGCCGCTAAACAGATGAGCCTATTCAATCGCGAGGCCTCATTTTATGAACCGCACAGTACTTTTGGATTTTGACCAGTGGAACAGCGTGAGTTTACCTCATATCGCTTTACCGACAAAAAGCGTGTTTTTTTTATATTAATTCACTAGCTAGTACCTGACAAACTGTACCTGTATATATTTCTTCCTATGAGAGGAATAGAAAGAAAATGTGCTCTCTCTTGCTCCCACAGTAATATACTTAACTTTCGTAACTTTCTCTCTTTCTATATTCACTAACTTATCTCCCATTCAACTTAGTTTGCATCTCCCGATCACATTTTTCGTAACGCTCTCGTCACGCGTTCACCAGCTCACTATCAAAGTCAAGCGTGTGTAAAGAAGTTTTTCTTAAAATGAAAGAGTGTCAGTGAAAAAATGTTCAGTGACAACTAGGCTGTAACAGTTTTTATCTCTTTCTAACTAAGGTAACAGTCTTAAGCGTGAATAAAGAAAACCTTGTTACAGCGCGTTAGAACACTTTGTGTGGAACAGGAACTGTTATTTAAGTTTGTAACAAGTACAGTCAGAGTATAGTACAGATAAGATAGCTGTTACGATAAATACGCCTCACTCCTAGTTAGGGGTTCGGGAAAACAAAAATATTACAGCATCATATTATTTTAATAATAAAATCATGAGACTAATAGATAATTTCTAAATACAGTCACTCATGATTAAGAATTTTATAAAGTTTTCACTTAACATTTGGTATTTATCTTGAAAACATACAGTAACTTCAATTCTATTATTTTTATATGATATAGATAAAGTGAATCAAATATTTGTATTACTTAACTATACGGCGTGTCGTTACCATCGCGACGATAAATGAACATACGTCTAACGCTACTTGCCAATAATCATAAAAAAATAACGTTAAACAAAATCCATAATTAAAAAAAAATATTTTTCAAACAAACTAATTACGTAAAAAAGAAACAAAAATTGTAACACCCTATACAGCCCGCGCCACAGCGTCGCATTACAAGCCTCTCCTTCTAACAGTATGTTTTGTCTCTTTTAAATTCATTCAACCCATTCATATCCTTTGTGACCTTTAGAAATGAACTTTACGTTACAGTTTTATACGTAAGGGTGTTCTAAAATTGTTTGTTTTGGAAAATTTAATAACTCGGTAAATATTGATGTTTAAAGAATGTAAATGTTAAATAAATACAATTTTAAAAAGTTATCCTCTATATGTGTGTTCATTTATTGTCGCGGTGGTAACGACACGCTGTATATGTTAGAAATGTAAATAAGTGTATGAATTATGATTATATTTTAAGAACTATAATTTTTACATGATTTTAGTTCAAACAATGTAGCAATAACCAAGGATAAAGTATAATTTTCTCACTGTGTAAAATCTATAATAATAAATTTTTCATGTAACACTCATAATTACATAGTATAAAATAAAGTCGTCCCGCTGTCTGTCTGTCCCTATGTATGCTGCGATCCTAAAAGTACGCAACGGATCTTAATGTGGTTTTTTTACTAGATAGAGTGATTAAAGAGGAAGGTTTTATGTACAATACATTGCACCTTTTACGTGTTGCTAGTCTTGTTATATTTAAAATACCTAATTTATATGAACATCTATTAACTTTTAGGACCGCACATCTATAAAATATTATTCTATATCTATAATTTACTTTCATCTTTTCCGTAAATAAATCTTTTTATTTTCGCATTTTTATTCATACAATCTTGAATAAAAACCAACAGTTTACAATGTTGGCAATGTTTGCTTCATTATTGTCAACATATTCACTGATTTCAATAGAAACATTAATTTTGTATTTGTGATTTTTTTTTGTTAGGTTTTGCTATTTAGTTTCATTTTCTTTTAAAACTAAGTTACAAAACACAGGTGTTAGGTTTACTACCGTAGATCTTTTAGGTCACAGTGGCTGTTGAGACAAACTACCCAATCGCTTAAAGACAAATCAAACAAAACACAGATAGGTTATCTTGTTTAATAACTATAGCTATATTATGTATTATATTTATCATTTATATTCTTAATAAGTATAGATATATTTTTTTCTTTACAGCCAACACAAGTATGTGTTAGAGCACCAGTTTCAGAATCATTGCAAAGACTACGAAGAGATCAACTACAGAAATTCGCTCAATATCTCATAGCAGAATTACCAAGACAAATACTACCAACTGCTCAACGGATACTTGACGAGTTGCTGTCAGCCCAACCTAACAAAATTAATTCAACTTGTGGAGCTCCCGATCCAACCGCTGGGGCTTCTACTTATGAATACACACCATGGTTCCTAGATGAAAAGACTTTGCATAACAGCATCAATAAGATATTAGTGAAGTTTTGTGTGCCAGCTCCAATTGTCTTCAGGTAAGTTTATTTTGTAATGTACATCATAGACTTACACTCAGTGCGTGAAATACTGATTAACATACAAATTAACTATCCAATTCCTATTCCAATTTTAGTTTAATGGGTTGATTAATATAATTACTTGATTCTGCCAATGTCAAGGTTCAATAAAACAAAGAGTAGGAAATATAATTAGCCAGTAATATTGACTTTCATACAGTAGTTAGACGATTACACATATCCAATTGTGTAACCTGAACAAAGGATAAAACAATATGTTAGTTTATTTCAAGAGATTTCTAAGTGATTTTGAGTAATATAAAGGCAAATTACCTGGCAATTACCCGAGGAATTTCTCTTTGTAATGTGGTTGAGGTATATAAAGACAAGTTAGTTGTCTACAAAACGATCCCAAACACCGCATTAACGCCCGGTTTCTGAACGACCCATGAACGTAAATTTACTATTTATTAAATTAACTAATCAGTGGTCAAATGGCTTGTTAACTGTCATTTGAGTTGCCAAGAGATCGTTATTATAAACACTGAATTGATCATTCGATTAGTTAACAGAGCAGTTAAATTTTAGTTCAGTCGTTTTTAAAACGCCTTTTGTTTTTTTCGATTAAATTTTTCTTTCGTGAGACCTTTTTAATACTTGCGTCGAAATATAATTATCCTTAGATATTAGCTTAGCTCCATCAAAATCGATTATAGATATGTAAGAGTATAACAGAAACATTTGCAGACAAGATAATGGCTTACATCTGTTGTTTTATTTGTTGGAAATTCGAAGTGAATCAGTATCCTTTACAAATTAATAATTAGAATGAGTTATGTTACTTATTTTGTTATTTTGAATCATGTGGTGATAAAATAAAATTTAAAAAATAATCAGGTCAAATTTATCACTAATTATCATGAATAACGTTCTAGAAACTCATGCTGATTTGTCAGCTCTGCTAATTTGACACATTAGTTAGTTGAGCAATACAATAAATATATATACATAAATATAAATACAATAAAACCAAAAAGCTATTGATCTAAGTGCGGTTAGATGTTACCATGTTCTATTGGTAGGAACATGCATATTAAATTTACTCACATGTTTAAAAAGAAACAAAAATTTATTTTTTAATTTTTGATAGTTCTACAAAGCCTTATTGTCTGACTCCTGTAATTTAATCTTATATTAATATTATTATTGTTTGTTGGATAATAAATAATTAATTTAAGGCTTTTAATGATGCATCATAAGATCAAGTAAAACAAGATTTGTCAAGGGTTCTGACGGAACAATCAAGTGCACATATAAATATCTTGACAGTGTGGCTCATTTATTACAAGCAACTTCTTAACACAACAACAAGAGATATTATTAATCTTCCGGACGCGCCCAAAAATCTAGGTTTAATACCGTAGATTAGAACACAGGACAAGACCACAGGCTGCCCTCAAAAAGATGGGTGATGAGAAGTTTCTAGGTCCGCATGGTATACACTTGGAAGTGTGACGTATGGAGATTAAGCACCAACATTCCCTTCTACAAAGGAAAAGAGTGTAATAAGTTCCATGCAATAAAACTAATGTGCCATACGATGAAGGTATATGAACGGGCTATTGATCTACGCGCGCCTAAGAAGAAAAACCTCATTATCCACCAACAATTTTGGTTTATTCCCCAGTTTGTCACCCAATGTTTGCCATCACCGTAATATGCCAGGAGTATAACTGTTGTAACAGTCTTCGCTGTTGGGCCAATGGGCAGGATTGTCCGGGAGAGTACCACGACCACACAGAAGGCTAAAAGGTGGCAATTTATCTGCATCCATACGGATATTGCAAATGTCCATGGGCGCCGGTTATCATTTAACATCGGGTGTACCCCCAGCTTGCCTGCCATTGTATTACATGAAAAAAAAAAAGTTTTGAGCCAAAAACAAGCTTAGCTCTATGATGCTTTTCTGGATGTGGTAAAAGTGTTTGATCGCGTACCTTGACCAACATCTGATGGAGTCTCCGCAAAAAATATCTTCTAAAGGGGTACATTGAAATCGTCGCTGAAATGAACAGGGACGTGATTTTTGTAGTCAGTACTACAGGTGGGGCAGACAAAACTAATAGCGCTACTGAAGGAGCGCACCAACGCTTATTACTCAGGACTTATTTTTTCTACACAAACCCTGATATTGTGGACATTTATATTATGTTCCGATTATGTAGAATCTGAATCGCGACGGCCCGAGGCCAGCTAGAATGTGCAATAAGGGGAATGGAAACACCAGTTACAAGCAGGTGGCCTAATGTTGAGTATGACAATAGCCCAGTACTTATTCCACAGGGTGCAAAAATCCAGAGCCACTAAATAGCTTTATTGATGTGAATTTGTTGGCCCTCTATATGGCCAGCAAGTTACCATATGTGACGATCAAAAATATCTAGGAACTGTGTTGCACAATACAGGAAATTTCGAAACAAAAATTCAATATAGAATTGCGGAAGCCTGGCAAAAATGGCGATAAGTAACTGGGGTAATCTGCGACCTAAGAATGCTATAAAGTGACTCATATGAACATTCTGGGATCTAGACCCAAAGGGTGCCCCAAAACCAGATGGACAGAAGTGGTCAGAAAAGATCTAAGTTCAAGCCGCTAGCCCTAAGATATAGCGAAGTGGAAGCGCAAGACCAGGAAGGCGGACCGGAGAGAAAGAATAATTATAGCCTATTCAACTTGGCCATCAAATATTAATTTTCAGAGTGTCTGGGTTGATATCTGTACTTGAGTCCTGTAACTGGACACAAATGTTTCACCACATTGTCATATAAGAGTCCTTCTGCTAACTGTGTGTTCTTCTTTAAATTGGAATTGAAGCTCTGTGTGACAATTTGTATTTTGTCCATCATATTTGGGAAGTTCACTAGCCACTTTTTTTTAAAATTTTTTTAGTGACGTGAACTACTTGAGCACATGTGCGCCTCCCGCTGCGGCAGAATGGTCATCTCTCCTGCGACCCCTGAGAGGACGAGAGCCGGAGGGCATGTGGAACCTCCTCTCCATAGTTCGGGAGATGTTCAAACGGAACGACAGGAATGCCATACCACTTTTAGAGATTATCACCGAAGAGATTATGGCTTGCGAACAGGTAAATAACAACGTTTGTAACTATAGCGTCTCGTTTATTCCCGTGTTATAACTAAAACCTTCATGTTGTAGGATGAAAGTAAATTTCCTCTGTGGTTTTAATATGTGAGTGTTTTCATAGTATATTATTTTATAATTCAATGAAAATTGAAGTATTTAATCTTGTTGTTAATAAATCGAGAAAGAAATTTTCTTAAGATTAAGATAAGAATTTGTTTAAATAAGAGGTGTTTTACCTTTAATCTTCATAGTAATCAATAGTGAATAAATCTTAACAGATAATAGTGTGGTGGTACAACACAAAGGCCGCCTTGGTCGCTTGGGGAGGGGGAACTGGTGGGGGCAAACATGGAGGCGGTGGTTGCAACTCGGCCGCCCAACACGCATGTTCATCATTGTGCGACGAGGTAATAATGCGCTATACTGCGTTAGTTATTTTCAACGTAAGAATATGCCAAGTGAATTGAAGGCTCACCTGATGTTAAGTAATAACCGCCACCCAGGGAAATTTGCAACACTCAGTTAGGGTTACAAATGCGTTGCGATATTTCAATAAAGTGGGCATGGGTTACCTCACTCACCAGACGAAATGCAGAAGTGCTATCACTTCCACTCCCCGCTGCTACTCTGTGAGGTCGTGGTCGTGGTACTCCCCCTGACGGAGCTGCCCATTCGTGCAACGGCAAAGACCTCTGCGTGGCCGTGCCACAGTAAAATTTTGTGCTTGACTTAAGTAGACCTGATAGCTCCAATGTCCGGGCGCTCATTTTATTTTTATATAATCGAGCAACCGTAGTTCATATACCGGTGCCAGCACCAATGAAATTGTTACTTGCAATTCTAAATGCTGACTTATTACGTGCTCAGCGTGAGACCTGCATAGTTACAAAATAATAATAATACAACCCGAACTTATGTAAAGTTGGTCAATTTACGGTGAGTTTGCGTGTTGGACTATACCCTAATACTCTCTGTGCAGACTATGCTCGAGTAATGGGGTTCGATTCCCGCACCCGGTCGACTGGTAAGACAGTGGAGACGCCATTTGTACAGAGTGGCCTTTGCCCTGCATAAGCACATGTACAGGCTGTTTTATTTTACTTATTATTGTTAACTTTTCCAAGTCGAAGGACAGTATAGCACTATCAAGTCATGATTGAAATTTGTTGGATAATGATAGTGAGGAATACAAATTAACGTTTTTATCGTCTTTAATACACGATAAAAACGTTAATTTAAAAATAATACATGTACACATACTGATGTTTATAATTTCTTGTATTTGTGGTAAAAAATAAGAAAAGACACATCATTATTATGTTGCCAACGAATGTAGCTAAAAAATTAAAAATAGGACAAGAAACTGTTTTTTCAACTTACTTCAAAAACGGAGGATGTTCTCAATTCGACTCTATTTTTTTTGTTTGTTACCTCGGAACTTTCGACAGGGTGAACCGATTTTGATGATTCTTTTTTTTTTGAAAGCTTGTGCTTCCCATGTGGTCTCATAATAATTTAATTGCTATCGGATCTTGGGCTCCGGAGATAAGTAGGGCACTCCTGAAAATCAATCATGAAATGAATACAGGGCGAGATATTAGTCGTCGGTTATGTTTTTCGTTCGTAATTTTAGTCACGCCAATAATTGTTTCTTGCCTTCAGATGGTGGTGTTATGGCGTCTCGCCGCCCTGAATCCCGCTCTGGCTCCTCACGAGCGTGACACTCTGCACGAGAAACTGGCGCAATGGCACTCGAAGGTATTGGAGAAGGCAAGTGTTGTGTCAATTAATGTTGAAATTTTAGTGATGTAGTTACGTTCACTATTTTATATAGTTATGTGCATATATTAACATTAGAAGTAGTAGAAATTTTAATTAATATAAAAGCGAAATAAATGACGTTTATAATTTTTGTGAATTAAAAAATTATATCGAAATGTTATGTATTAATTGTTTTGATATAGATGATGTAATTGTGTTCAGATATTATACATACATATATGAGGATTCATTTTTCATTTTAATTATCAATCTTTTTGAGGTTGTAATGGGCAAAACTACTGTGTATAATGTTGTTCTGTAGAGCTTTGCCATGCGAAGTAATGATTCACTGTTTTCAATTTAATGTATACTGGCTATATGAATAATTTTCTTCATCACAATTTTATTTGTAAGAATAACAAACGTTTGCATTGTTTATTGGTTTAAATTAATATATTTTAAACGCGTATGTTACACGAACAAGCAATGCTTACCAAATAAAATAGGAACATATAACACAAAACACGTATTGTTAAAAATGAATGTATTACAATGTACAACAATTTACAAACTTAACAAATTCTCCCTTTTGTTGATTACATAATAAAGTCAAACAAAAAGTCGAACAATGAATTTTGGCTTTAAGCGATTTTTTAGAATGTTTAGTTCCGGCAAATATTTCCTAAGAAGGTCATTCAGATTCATACATGTATAGTTCTCATTAGTTTCGATGACGGCGACCCTTGTAGGCTCAGCTATTTCTAACGTTAGTACTTATATGGCTAGAAAGACTGGACTACTTTTAAATACGCTGCTGCATGACCGGCATAGAGCTGGCCAGCGAAGTGTATGTTAAGGAGAGCTCAGGCCTATCGTTGCTGGCGTTTTACGTATAGCATTTGAAGGCGGTTTTCCTCAAAAGACATTATTTTGGCCAAGATAGTGGATCGCCAGGGTGACCTTTTTGAAGCAAGCTCCGCGCAATGCTCACGGTTGGTCTCACAAATATTCTGGTGCCGTTAGTGGACTTCCTTATAGCGCTGATGCTGAACGCCGTGCTTGCGTTTACCATCAGCTTACTCCAGCCATTTCCTAGTAAGAGACAGCTTTATGTAAACCCAATCGCTCCTGATGGTATTGTGGCGCAAATGCCAAGGTATTTGCAGCGTTTTTATGACACCGGTATCACTTCTTCAAATGTCACAACGATATTCACTCAAAAGTATTCATCCGTGTCCGGATAACGCTCAAACTCCGCCGTCTATCTTCTGTTCCACGTTATAAAAACTAGCTTTTCGTCCGCGGCTTCGCTCACGTTGAAGCCCTCAAATATCTTTCTTTAAAAAAAATTCCAATTAAAAAATAGCCTATGTCCTTTCTCCGGCTCTAGACTATCTGTGTACCAAATTTCATTTAAATCGGTTCAGTAGTTTTGGCGTGAAAGCGAGACAGACAGAGTTACTTTCGCATTTATAATATAATAACTGTTAGAATCGAGTTTGGACTTGTGACATCGCCAACAATGTTAACCACGAGCGAGGCCGTTGTGCGCAGGTGGCGAAGAACCGAAACAACAACCACTTGGGCACGTCGTCGCACCAGAGGCAGACGCGGGCGCACAACCACCCGCCGTACATAAACGGCATCAGCGAGGAGGAGGTGTTCCCCGGCTTCCACCCGGCGATGGAGGCGTGCTTCCTCGAGTGGGACGATTACCAGATCCCGGGGGTGACATACACCAAGTCGCGTCTGATCTTCCATAGCCCCTTCACCGTTTTCCGCCAAGCCAAGGGAGACAACGTCCATCAGGTGCGTACAACTGTATTTGTCTTCGAAAAAAAAGTAAAGTATCAGCCTATGCATGTCCCACTGCTGGGCAAAGGCCTCCTCTGTACAGAGGCATAGTCCGCCACGCGGCCCCACTGCGCATTGGCGGACTTCACATATCTTCGAAATATTTTTTTTTGCTATTATTTCGAAAATATGTTTCAGTTCAAAAATATGGTTTCAGTTCGAAAATATGGTTTCTACACGATGTTTTCCTTCAACGCTGAACACGTTGGCACTTATAATTGACAATTTCATTAGTGCCGGCACCGGGGATCGAACTCAGGTTGCTCGAGAATATTTAATTAAAAGCGAGCGAGCGCCCGGACACAGGTATCACGGTTCCTTGTCTTCGAACATTTACCTCGATTCATATTTTGTTTACATTTATAATACAGCCCCGTAAATATTACACATGACTTAACGTTGCTATTAGTAATTTTTATCTCTGGACTTTCCCCAACTTCGCCGCGCTAAACTGAAAAACCACACGATATCTTGCCCTAAATAGAAAATATTCATTTACTGTTCATCCTGCTGTATTTTAAAATATGTTAATTCATATATGTTAGCTCACTACACATGTGAATTTTAAATATGTTAATTACATTTAAAAATAATCTGTAGTGAAGTGCTTCTGTTATATTAATATGTCATCGCTCTTCAGGTGAACTCATCAAAGCTGGTGTTGGATAATGATATGTTCAAATCGAGCAACGGTGTACCATCACTGAGCTTCCGTCTGGCGCCTACCATACGAGGATTTCGCGGTAGGGGCCAGTCGAACCTAATCTTCGTCCCCAATTCTAACCAGGTTTGCATAATTTTAAAGCTTATTTCGATATTTCAGTATGTTTTTATTTTAATGAAATGTTGACAATATATTTCATGTTTAATTAATGCGCCCCATATCTATGCCATTAAGGTCAAAGAAATAATCAGTTTTTTTGTAAATGCTCTTTTGTTATTAATAGTGATTACAGGGATCCAGTGAGTATCTTACAGCTATAGTATGTAACATAGGGATGTAAAGTTTGTTTTTCACGTGTGTATTTATAACCAAAGCCATTCGGAGATAAGATGTAGTTCGGATTAGACACTAGTGTTAATAACGCGAAAGAGGCGTTATTATACGAACGAACGAATATTGTTGTAGGAATATATTTTGTTATCATCTTTTATAACATGAATTTCTTTACATTTTAATCAAGATGAAGTCATAATAATTTGGCCTTTTCGTTGTTTGTTTGTATTAACTCACAATTAAGACAAATATTTCGGAGAGAAAATTAGATAGAAGTTTTCCCCAGTACAAAGATACAAGATATATGAATTTTGTACATATCAGCAAGTATATATCATTTGATAAATTAAAAAAAACTTGTAAAGGGACGTTTGTGACAAAGGCTTTTATAATATTTGTGTTTATATAAATGATAACAAGAATTTTAACTTTATATAAACTTACAATCACCATCATTTTACAGACCATATGTTGTATTTAACTATAGTTTATGCAATTCAACTGTAACTGTTATATAGCATTTTATCGCACACATATTCAATGTGTTTTCTTTTTTTCTAAGCAAATAATCTTAGAAAAATTTTCCCCCATTTATAAACATTATTAATGAAATTTTAATTGTTTATAGTGCTAATCTTTGCTCTTAAGATTGAACATGAAAATATGTATAAAAAGTACGTTCGTCGTTTTAATGTTCAATCTTAAGTGCAGAGATTAGCAAAACAATTAAAATTTCTAAAAAGCAATGGCGACATCTCTCGTTCGAATTATCGTTGTAAAACGATATTCGAAATTGTTTGTATGCTGGAAAGGATATAAAATGGATGCGCCAAAAGCCTTAAAATGGAAATGCAGCGCTTGTAGTAGACATTCATCTTCTAAAAGGAGACGATTGTTACAGCTGCCACGCTCTGGCGGTGCGCCTGGAGAGCCGGGACGAGACAATGAACCCAACGATGGCAATCGTTCCAGCGTGTCATCTGAAGGTACAATTAGTGAATATTTTTATAAAAAAATATGTGGCTTCGTTCAATTTGTATAGTGGTCGGCATATACGGCCATTTTTAACCTGAACTACGCTGTTTTTCTACCCGTGATTTCTATAATTCTTACATTTTGCGTAAATTAATAATAAAGTAATTGGTATTTGTTCCGAGTTTGTTTCATGCGTCTAGTTTGGAAATACGGCACTCGGTTTCTACGAGGTTCTAAATGTTGTACGTCTAAATTAATCGTTAAATATTTTTTTCGCGAAACTAATTTGAACCCTTTGAACGATCCAATGTAGTAATAAAGTATGGGCGGGCATATTTTATTACTACGTGTACTTATTATGCGAATGTTGTGTTGTCGGTAGCTACCGAAATAAGGTCACGCAACACCATTGCACGAATGGGCAGGCTCGTCCGGGACAGCCGTACCAGTGCCACGGCCTCACAGAAGACTCACGGGGTGTAGCGGAAGTTTAAAACTTTCTGATTCGGTCCGCTGTAATTTTTTTTTTATTTATAAGTTGTTGTTGGATTTAAGGCCGAAATACTGGATTTAAGACCCGCGGCCCCACAGGGTTCTGCGAGAACGAGGAGGAGTTGCTGCCCGCGAGCGTGGCGGGCGACACCGACTCGCAGGGCTCGAGCTCGCCGCCCGCCTCGGAGGACGCGCGCCGGCGCGCCTCCAACGACGAGTCCGTCTCGGACGACGAGTGCCACCTCTACTACTACGACACGGCGGCCGCGCGCCGCGCACAGGCCGACGCGGGCGCCCCCTCCGCCGCGCCCCCCCAGGGGCCCGTGAGTGGCGACGCTCTACGCCCCTTTGCCCCTTTCGACTGCGCCCCCTCTGCGGGCAAACGATGTGTTGATGAAACTATCAGTTGTCCCGCGCGGTCGTTGAACCCACGACCCCCGGCGCCGATGGCCTCGTCAACTGCGCCGCGGAGTCATCAATTGCTGACGACACAATACACACAGTGCTAACCAATTAATTCGCCCTCGCCTACGAGCACAAAAAAACCAACAACGTGTATACAAGATACACCCTTGTTGCGGGGCATATTTCACGGCCCCCGATTAATACAGTCAGTAGTCTTCGGAGTCACGCTGGAGCGCACGAGGAGCACGATCGGAGAGAAATTAATTTTGTATTTGTGATTATTCAAAGATAATAGGAAGACATATAAAATTCTTTTAATTAGCTATTATACATATAAAGGGGGCAGTAGTTCATCAAGAGTTGGGATCATTATTGCTTAATTATTAATTAATCGCAACTGCGGTAAGGCTACACAACAGTTTTCGCTGTTGCACGAATGGGCGCGTCCAACCGGGTACTACCACGGCCTCACAGAAGACTGTGAGACTTGTTAATTCTGCGTCTCGTCTGGTGAGTGAGGTAGCCGGGGCCTAATTTTTTTATAACTTGGCAACGCATCTGTTGTCGATTGGCGGGGCCTCATTTTCACATAGAAAAAAAAAACCATTGGCCATTACCATTTTAAATACGTTGGTTGCGCGTCCCGCAGCCGTCGAGCGGGGCGAGCGCGGGCGTGGACTGGGGCTGCGGCTGGGAGGTGTCGTTCGCGCGCGCGGAGGGCCTCCACGCGCACGGACACGCGCGCGAGGCGAGCACGCTCGGCGCCAACCTGGCGCGCGAGCTGCTCGCCAGACCGCCGGCTCTGGGTGAGCATTCCTTTCTTAGGGTTTCGCGCCCATTACTAAGACTCCGCTGACTGTTTATGTGTATGTCCGTCTGTCACCAGGCTGTAAGTATCTCATGAACCGTGATAGTTGGACAGTTGAAATTTTCACAGATGATGTATTTCTGTTGCCGCTATAACGACAAATACTAAAATACAGAGTAAATAAATATTTAAGTGGAGCTCCCATACAACAAATTTTGGCGCCGTTTTATTTATTTATTTACTAGCTGTGCGAGCGACTTCGTCCGCATGGAATTTTAAATAAAAAAAATCTAAAATAAAAGTAGCCTAAGTTACTCCTTATAACATCAGCTATCTGCCAGTGAAAGTGCGATCCCCGATGCCGGCATCAATGAAATTTTTAACTTTAAGTGCTGACTTATCACGTGCTCAGCGGTGAATGAAAACATCGTGAGGGAACCTGAATATTTTGGAAATAATAACAAAAAAAATGTTTCGAAGATATGTGAAGGTCGCCAATCCGCAGTGGGGCCTCCTGGTGGACTATGCCCTGATACCCTCTGTACAGAGGAGGGCTTTGCCAAGCAGTGAGACATGTACAGGCTGTTACTTTACTATTTACTTATATTATACGATTGCGGAATATTGCGACGACGCTAATGTGTGGAGTTAATACTGTTCGTACTCACGTTGGCTAAAATAAGACTATTGTACATGAACCATGGTATATTGTAAACTGATATTTTGCAAAGGCCTGGGCAGCGGCGCGGGCTCCAGCAGCGCTGCAGCCGCGGCGGAAGCGCGCCGCCTCCGCCGCCGCCACCTGCCGTCGCCCCGCCTCTGCGCCGCCAGCCACCGCATCTCCTGCCTCGCCTCGGCCACCCTGGCCAAGTGCGCCTTCCTCTGCACCGTGAGTCCCTTACGCTTATAAATATTACTTTTTTTTAATACGACCAAGTGGCAAGGTGCTTCTTTTATACGAGAAAGTGGCGGGCGTGCTGGCCGTTCACCCGATGCTAAGTGATAACCGTCGCCCGTTGATATTTGCAACGCTCTTTGTGTTGCAGATACGTTGCCAGCGGACGTGAGTCTCACACGCTGATAAATATTTCTTTTTTTTTATGTGAGAATGTGGCAAGTCATCCGGTCCACCCAATGCTAAGTGATAACCGCCGCCCTTAGGTATTTGCAACGCCCGCAGTGTTGCAAATGCGTTGCCACCTTTTAATAAAGTGAACTCGGACTATCTCACTTACCGGATGAAACGCAGAACCATAAAACGTCCACATCACACCCTTCTTCTGTGAGGTCGCGGTACTACCCCATACGGAGCTGACCATTCGTGCAGCAGCAAAGATTGTTTTGTAGCCCTAACACAGTTAATGTAGAGGTTTGCCTCCTCTTTTGTAATGCGTACGGTAATAGAACAGTTTGCCAGCATCGGTTTTCTCGTCCAAATGTGAATGTGCACTCACGCTTTAATAGGTGCTACTGTGTTTACAATCTAAGTTTACCTCTTAGAAACCACCAAGTGGGAAAGTAGTCAAACACTGGCCAGTTTTTGACTACTTTCGGTAGTCAAAAACTGGCCAGTGTTTCTTAAATCGGTAGAACCGATAGGCGCATTGAGTGGTGACCCTGCCTCTTGCTTCACAGGGTGTGGGTCCGCTCCTCACTACTGGAAAAATATTGATGAACATAGTGATTTTCCAGCCTGGGTGTTAATATACAGCGTGTCATTACCACCGCCACAATAAATGAACACACATATAGAGGATAACTTTTTAAAATTGTATTAAACATTTACATTCTTTAAACATCAATATTTACCGAGTAATAAAATTTTCCAAAACAAACAATTTTAGAACACCCTTACGTATAAAACTGTAACGTAAAGTTCATTTGTAAAGGTCACAAAGCATATTTATGGGTTGAATGAATTTAAAAGGAACAAAACTTACTGATAGAAGGAGAGGCTTGTAATGCGACGCTGTGGCAACGAATGAAAAAGTTTCTGAATTTATGAATCAGTCAGTTGTAGTTGTATAGGATGTTACAATTTTTAAAATTGTATTAAACATTTACATTCTTTAAACATCAATATTTACCGAGTAATAAAATTTTCCAAAACAAACAATTTTAGAACACCCTTACGTATAAAACTGTAACGTAAAGTTCATTTGTAAAGGTCACAAAGCATATTTATGGGTTGAATGAATTTAAAAGGAACAAAACTTACTGATAGAAGGAGAGGCTTGTAATGCGACGCTGCGACAACGAATGAAAAAGTTTCTGAATTTATGAATCAGTCAGTTGTAGTTGTATAGGATGTTACAAATTTTGTTTCTTTTTTACTTAGTTTGTTTGAAAAATATATTGGTTTTAATTATGGATTTTTTTAACGTTTATATTTTTTTATGACTATTGGCAAGTAATGTTAGACGTGTGTTCATTTATTGTCGCGGTTGTAACGACACGCTGTATGTATAATATTATGTATTTATTTACAAAAGAAAAATAAATTTATGTATGTTTATGAGTTGTACCCATAGTACAAGCATTGCTAAGCAATTTTTGGGATTAGAAAACATCTCATAACACCACATGTTATGTTTTTTTGATTGCGAATTAAATTCGAAAATGAAAAGTCGATGGCATCATCTTGTACATCACCATTTCAACTACATTACAGCATATTCAATTTATAATTACAGGTGTTGGGCGAATTCAGTGAGCATCATGAACTGGCTTTCAGAGTTGGCTTGTACGCCCTTGAGATGTCACGACCACCGGCCAGTACAAAAGCCCTAGAGGTGAAACTGAACAATCAGGAAACCGAATTGGTTGCGCTGTTGAAGAAGATACCCGTTGGCGATGAGGAGCTCGCCTTAGCCAGAGTGAAAGCGGAGCAAATAAGTGATGGCACTTTAAAGTATGACCTAATGCTAAATATTTTGTATTTTGCTCTGTTGAGTTTAAGATTTACGTGTGATATCATTGTTTGCTTGCACCAAGGTGCCACTGCGTGCGTTATTGGAGCATTAATTAATTGGGCTAATTTGACCATACTGTCTCATTCTCAAATAATAAAGTTGAGTAATAGTAGTTTTTTTTTATTCTGAATGTAAAGGTCTACAACATTTTTCTTATGTTTATTCTGAGACACTGTGCCTGTTGCACAGTTTGTCAGCAGACAGCAGAAAGTTTGCTGTTCAGTTTGCTATAAAAAAAAAACCAAAAAAAATTTCAATTGCATTATTACTAAACACTATTAATAAATGAAGTTTTATTAAATTACGAAACTGTTTAGGGAAGTTAAAGAATGTGCAGCACCAATAGTTACATTGCTCTTGTATCGCTAATGATTCAAAAATTGTTCCTAACTCCCTATCTAAAAAGCATTCTCATGAAAATTTTTATTATACTTAAATTAATTATAATTGTGAGTAACTTAATAATTGTATAAACCTCAAAACGATAGATAAAAAAAATACTATCAAAAAATGAAATCTAGGTTTCTTATGTTGATGAATAAATGATTTTTCGCTTGTGAAGCTAATGCCGGACCTTGTTTCAGAAATCGGGGACCTGCTCTTTTGCCCATCTCCCTAGCCAGTTTCCTGTTTGATGTTCTAGTTCCATCCACATCCGAGAGGGATCCTAAAAATCCAGTGAGTGAAAAAACAAAAAAAAATTAAGAATATCCGGCTGCTTGCCTGACGTCAACACTTCTTGTGAACAAACAATTCAACTTCAGAACAAATATCTGTGGGTCACACCAGTACTTGTTTCGTGTGGGAATGGAACCCACAACCCCCGCTCCTTAGCCTATACTTACGTTCGAGTCATTTTATATTAATATAAATTATAAAAAGTTATATATAGTTGCCTATTTGGTTATACAGATTTTTAATTCGTTTTTTGGCACAACCTGTCAATATTTCAAGTATATAAAATTTAAAGCATAGGTAAGGAGCGCTTACCTATGCTAAGAAATTATGTTATAGAACACATTGACTTGGAGATTTACGTACGAAAAATATATAAAGATTGTATAAACAATACAATAAATACAAAAACATTACAGTTTATAAAAAATAGTTGTTGAAATTATTCACAGCTGTGAAATATAGCCACTAAGAATTCATTATTATATGTGCAGTTAATCAAGTTATTACATGTTTCCTTTTTACAACACCTTTAATAGCTATTATATAACTGGATAGGTAAGTACCGCTAATGTCAGGAGCGTCAGTTGCCAAGGTATTGGGTTCGATATCCACACGCGATAACTATTTGTGTGACCCACAGAATTTTTTTGCGTATCTGGGTGTTTGTCCGCGTGAAACTTATATGTGTAAAGGGTCCTTACAACAGCATAATGTTATCAAGTTAGTAATATTTTCGAAGAGAAGACTACAATCCATCTTTCTAGGTTGCAGTGCTCCTTGGGACTTATTACCCAATCCCTTCCACACTAGATACAATACAAGTACCTCAGTAGTTCTATATACCCTGGGATATAGAGCCACCGACGGTTCCATCCCTGAATGTGTGCTGTAGAGTCGAATGTTTTAAAACATATAATTAACGTTAGTTGGTTTATTCGTCCAGAAATTGCGCATTCGCTACTAGGCAGCTACGATTGTATAAATATGGTTTTGGATACTAATAAGTCTGCTTTGCGTTTGCATGTCGTTTTAATAGATATTTGTAAGAATTTTTGATTATTAACATTATTGCAGGCGAGGCTATCTAGCGACGAAACGTTGGGTTTTGAAGCAGCCGTAGTCGCTTTAGGGCTAAAAGCGAACGTGTCTGAGGCAGACCACCCTTTGCTGTGTGAAGGCACACGGCGGCAACGCGGCGAGCTAGCTATCACACTTTTGTCATTCTATAAAGACGATCCCGTAAAGCTGGCGAGGATTATGAATCAGGTGAATGAATGAATGCACTGTATAACGCTGTGCTAAAGATAATACGAAATAAAACGTCTTGCTATGGGTAATTTTAATATCAAATTGAGATATTTTTAAGATAAAGTTCAATGTATCATAATTATAGCTCCTTTCAATGTAACACACAAATAAATTTATATCGAAGTTTTAATTTATTTTTACAGTTGTTAGATCGCGATATTCACCAACTGACCAAAAGTCCGATGGTGAGCATGTACTACACGAACAACCCGCGTCTCAGCTCTTACCGCTCAGATGCCGGCAGCTCCCAACATCATGAAACTCAGAACACGCACGACCCACATGCACCCTCGCCGCTTGTTCCGCATGCTGCGCAAAATGCGCACGCCGACTACCCTGCGCATGGGCAGCAGGTTCCACGTCCAGACTACGCAGCGCATGCTCAGAACTGGGTACACCCGGACTACGCGGCGCATGCTCCGCAATTGGTGCGCCCAGACTACGCAGCGCAAGCTCCGGCGAATAAAGACTACGCAGCGCATATTCAGCAAATTGCGCACTCAGATTACGCAGCTCACGCACAACACGCCGTGCATGCTCAACATGCTGCGCACGCGCAACTTGCAGCGCACGTTCAACACGCTGCGCATGCTCAGCAGGCCGTGCACGCTCAGCAAGCTGCGCACGCTCAGCAGGCTGTGCACGCTCAGCAAGCCGTTCACGCTCAGCAGGCCGCGCAAGCCGTTCACGCTCAGCAGGCCGTGCACGCTCAGCAGGCCGTGCACGCTCAGCAGGCCGTGCACGCTCAGCAGGCCGTGCACGTTCAACAGGCCGCCCCCGCACAGCAGGCCGCACACGCACAGCAAGCCTCGCAGGCACATCAGGCCGTGCACGCACAGCAGGTGGCGCACGCCCAGCAGGCCGTGCATGCACAGCAGGCCGCGCACGCACAACAAGCTGCGCACGCTCAGCAGGCTGCGCACGCTCAGCAGGCTGCGCACGCTCAGCAGGCTGCGCACGCTCAGCAGGCTGCGCACGCTCAGCAGGCTGCGCACGCTCAGCAGGCTGCGCACGCTCAGCAGGCTGCGCACGCTCAGCAGGCCGCACATGCTCAGCACGCTGCGCACGCTCAGCAAGCCGCGCACGCTCAGCATGCCGCGCACGTTCAGCACGCTGCGCACGCTCAGCATGCCCAGAATCCCGTGCACGCCCAACACGTAGCTCACGTGCAGCATGCTACCCATGCCCAACACGCAGTGCACGTTCAGCACGCCGCGCATCACCCACACAACGTGCACGCAAGCCACCCCACTAATTCACCAATTGGGGCCAACGTCCGCCTGCCTCCGTCGCTCCCACTACAGGTGAGTTACAACTTATCATATAATAATATATAAGTACATGTTCTTACAAAATAAAAAACGGCTCAACATAGAAAGTTATAACTTTTATTGGAAGTCTCCATTCAACTTTACATGTTCGCATTCGATGGAACCGCTGAGAAAAGCATTCTCGAACTTCTTCCACATCTTCTATGGCATTTTCAAATGCACTCAACACATCTTCAGGGCTCGTAATGCGAATTCTTCGAAGTTCACCTTTGATTTTTGGGAATAAAAAAAGTCGCAGGGCACCGGGCCGGGACTATATGGTGGATGATTTATTATCTTGACCACTGCCATAGGCAAATAATCAATTTGTTACGCGCAGTGATCAACTCATTGCGCGTAACGATCGAATCTGCAACCCATGGGTTGCAAATGTCCATGGGTAGGCGGTTATCACTTAATATCAGGTGAACCGCCAGCTCGTTTGCCACTTTCTAACATTAAAAAAAGAAAAAAAAATTTTGTTACATCAGTCGAACTGTACTCGAGTTTTCATGTTCCTCGAGTACACAAATAACTATTTAACTCAATATATCAACTCAAGTAAGATTTGTTTAAGCTTTATTAAATTCCTTTATTAAATTAGTTAAATGGAATAACACCTGAACTGTAAAGTATTAGTAACTTTTTATTAATTTATATATTCAATAAATTGTCTTACATTTATGTGGCTTACTAGTGGTTGCCTAGTGGTTGACATTTGACCATAATTAATCAAACATGGTGTGTGTTTAATGTTTTGTTTCTTGATTTAATCTATTTTTCATGTATAATTTAAAATTACACGGTAAATTTTACGGTGGTAGGGCCCCGTAGCAGCCTCGGCTGTTGCACGAATGGGCAGGGCCGTCCGGGTAAGTACCACGACCTCACAGAAGACCAGCGTAAAGTGGAAGTATCACAAATACTTTCGCGTTTCGTCTGGTGAGTGAGGTAGCCGGAGCCCAATTTTCCAAAGGTTGCCAACGCATCTGTAACCCTCGGGTGTAACAGATGTCTATGGGCGGCGGTATTCACTTAACATCAGGTGAACCGTCTGCTCGTTTGACATTTCGCATTAAAAAAAAAAAATAAAAAAAAAATTAGCATTCTGCACTCCTTCTCTATATGAACTGTAAGTGTGGAAAATTTTGAAAGTTTTTTGCTTGTGTACAAGCTTCGATTAAAAACACGGCTCGAGTCGCATCACTAGCAAAACATCATTGTTTTATTGTTTTATTTGACGTAAAACATAGATATATAGATAGACGCGGATATTATTTTTCGATTAGTTTAATGTAATACTAAATTAGACGATAAATCATAAAACTAAAACAAAATCTTGACGTCAACTAGTATGTTTTTATTTAATCAATATTTTTGAGCAAATCCATAACTTTTGTTTTATATTTAGATTACCTTTGATGGTGAAATGTTTACATTGAAATGATCTTTACAAAAATACAATTGTTTTTGTTGATAAACTAGGAGCAAATGTACTGGCGGTTCACCTGATTTTAAGTGATAACCACCGCCCATGGACATTAACAACACCCTGTAGGGTTGCAGACGGGTTGTCACTTTGGACGACTCTGCCAACTCGGAGAGCACGAGTCAGGTCGACTCGAGGCTAATTAGATAGGAAGTAATAATGATGTTGAATCGTGATGTTATGTGGCTACTCGAGTCGATTCGCAACTTCGTTTGTGGTTTGAACTAATCCTCTCCTTTTTCTACACACCTCGACCTCGAACAGTGTCCGACGGTTGGGATTTCAAAGACAAAATTTACAATAAATTGGCACTAGTGTGCATTTTATTTCGAAAATCTATCAACAAAGGGTATATTATTCCAGCGCAGATCTCAACATCGTGTTTAAGAAAATACGACAAAAAAATACCGCCATCTATCGCCTCAAAGTCGTACTTATAAAATGTAATTGTAACATAGTCGATTGCTTATCGAAAATAAAGTTAAAAAAAGTTTCTGTTTTTATAGCAAAGAATTCCCACGCCACACTTCTGTTATTTGACGTCGTTACAAACAAAACAAAACAAAACAGATCACTAACAAATCAAAAATATCAGTTCGCACGCGGATCGCCAACGGTCAACTAATAAAATCAACGAACGCCTAACGAGCCGCGCGCGCGAGCCGCGTGTGTGACTCGGAACAACTCGTGAGGCCCCCGCGTCCGGCTTGCGTTCGGACGACCGAGTTGATTCGAGTTGCTTAAAACTGAACTCGAGTTGGCTCGTTTAAGGTTTGACACGAGTTACTCGAGTCAAATAACTCTAGTCGCACATCGCTAGTTGTTCTACCAGTATATATATACAGCGTGTCGTTACCATCGCGACAATAAATGATCACACGTCTAACGCTACGAGCCAATAATCATAAAAAAATATTAACGTAAAACAAAATCCATAATTTAAAAAAAAAATATTTTTCAAACAAACGAATTAAGTAAAAAAGAAACAAAATTTCTAACATCCTATACAACTCGCGCCAGAGCGTCGTATTACAAGCCTCTCCTTCTAACAGTATGTTTTGTCTCTTTTAAATTCATTCAACCCATTCATATGCTTTGTGACCTTTACAAATGAACTTTACGTTACGCTTTTATAGGTAAGGGCTGTTCTAAAATTCTTTGTTTTGGAAAATTTAATAACTCTGTAAATATTGATGTTTAAAGAATTTAAACGTTTAATACAACTTTAAAAACTTATCCCCTATATGTGTGTTCATTTATTGTCGCGATGGTAACGACACGCTGTATATGTATTTCTTCATTTGCAGCAAGTGCCGTGCCAGTTGGCGGCCAACATGGAGCGATTGGCGGTAGTTGATGGAGGCCCGTCGCCGCCCGCGATGCAGCACGTACAGCAGCTGCAGCAGCAAATGCAGCATCCGCAACAGATTCAACATCCACAACCAATGCAGCATCCGCAACAGATGCAGCATCCGCAACAGATGCAGCACCAGCAGCAGATACAGCATCAGCACCAGATGCAGCATCAGCATCAGATGCAGCACCAACAGCAAATGCAGCACCAACAGCAGATGCAGCACCAGCAGCAGATGCAGCAGATGCAGCAGCCACCGCAGCTGCCGCTGATTCAGAACGGCGCAATACCACAGCATCCTCAACACGCGCAGCCTCCGCAGCATGCCCCTGTTCTGCAGCACCCGCCAGTTCCACAGTATCCTCCGGTTCCGCAGCACCCGATGGTGCCACAGCACCCACCGGTTCCGCAACACGCTTTGGTGCCACAGCACCCACCGGTTCCGCAGCACCCACCGGTTCCGCCACTTCCGCAACACTCGCAGCATCCTACGGGTCCACGGCCCAAAGACTCCAGGTGCAAACAAATTGTTACATGCGTATAAGACGTAAATGCGACATTAGTCGAAAAATCAGTTGATGCATTTTGTTTCCGTGATCCAGGGCCAGGGTAATATAATATTCCTGTCACATGCTAATGATTGTGATCATTATTTTTTCTAACTATTGTTTGGTATGTGGTGGTTAAAAATTTGTAACCACATTTATTAAAACCGCCGCTAGTAGCGCCACTTGTATATTTTTGTAGATGCAGTGCATCCATAAACAGTAACATATCATTCAGGTATAATAAAATGTGTACTAAGCAACGTCTTAGGTGGAGTTCATCAGAGGCATATTCAAGTTTTTGCTGCAGTTGCAATGTCTAAACATTATAACGATGCTCTATTGTCTTTTTTTCTGTCTGTTGCATGCCTATAAGTGATCAAATCACTTCCTCCAGATATAAAGGAAAGCGTGTCTACCCGTCTGTACCGAACCAGCCGTCGGAAGCTTCCGCGCACTTCATGTTCGAGCTCGCTAAAAGCGTGCTGTTTAAAGCCGGCGGATCCTCTAGTACCAGTCTCTTCACTCAGACACATTATGCGCGTGGACACATCGGACCACATAGGTAATGTTTTGGAAATTTTGCCATTTTACTTCCGGAAGTATCAAATTCCGGTCAATATTTTGTCATTTGGAAATAACATAAATGAATGTGCCGCCTTATGCGTATTTCTTGATTTATTAATATTGTTTATTATTGCCGAGTCTCTTGTTCTAAGCTTCTGCCCTGTACCCACTACTTGATTTGAATGTGCACGGTGAAATACTGAAACGAATGACGCGCTACTATTTTTTGCCAAATAAAATGTGTGGGGATAGAATTTACGATAAATTTGTTGGTATGGAGATATCTAGAATATAAATAGACATGGATATATGTAGCATAGGAAGAGACAAATTGGCATATTTTTCATGTGTAAATTATGATAGAGAAATAGAGAAAATTGAGGACATGAAATTTTTAATTTTTCGTTTAGTAGTAAAGCTACCTTAATATATATTTATATATAAAGCAATACTAAAATATTTAAGTTACATTTTATATTTTAAAGTATGGAATATAAGATAACGTTTTTAACTGTATTTTCGCAGGGGCTTACACATGGCCGCCTTTCAATTGGGCCTCTATGCGTTGGGCTTGCATAACTGCGTTAGCGCCAATTGGTTAAGCCGCACGTACTCTTCACACGTCAGCTGGATCACAGGTAACCTTTCCTGTTTATTTAACACCTAATTCCCCCTACTAGGGAGAACACACATCTGAATAAGGAAAAAAGAATTAATACATAGTATACATTTGATGTATATGTAGATGTTAATCATGTTCGCATAATATAATATTTTAATGGCAAACTTTCTTCTTCTGCCTTTCTTTATGGCTTCCCTTTAAAGAATTCTGCCAATATCAAGTCATGGGGCGAGAATAATTTTTGTAGAGAAGAGAAAAACGTTTTTTTTTTGCAATTTTGTCCAATGCATCACAATATACAACAAAAGACACAACATACATATAATAAACCACCACCAAATGGCAAACTTGCCGTTTAATGACAAATCATTTGGGATGCTCTGTAAAAAATATAATAATAATTTAATTTAATATAATAAAATAACTAAATAAATGTAACATTAAGAATATAATTGAGTTTTTGTTACACAGTCGTTTTCAGATGTTTTAATTTTTCTTTAAAATAATAATTTACTTTATTTTAATATAATCAAATTGTATCCAGGTCAAGCTATGGACATCGGGGCACCGGCGATTTTGTTTTTGATCGATGCATGGGAAGGTCACTTGACTCCGCCCGAGGCAGCGGGAATCGCCGATAAGGTATTTATGATTGATTTTTTGATACTTGGCTGATGAATCATTACGATGAAGATATACATGTTCATGCACATTAAATTAGGCATGTACGCGAGTGTAATGTGCCTATGATGCACAAATTGACAATGTCGCTGTTTGGTTGCGTAACTCCGAACAGCACCTATGAGTAACAAAAGAACTATAACTATAAATTACCTCTTGTGCCAGCCAGTACGTTTTGTATGTGAAAAGAAAAAAAAAACATTTAATGTAATTGATAACAGTTTAATTAAATAACTTGGAATAATGGGCAAATATCAAAGTTATTATTGTACGCCATGGAAATTTGTTTTGACTACTTGGCATCGCGCATCGGTGAGATTCACTCCCATCATTTTCCCCAAACACTAAGCCAAAAGAAGGTCTGTGTCGCGCACCGTAAAGACTCTCCTCATCACACAAAGAAAATTGCAGGCGTCGTCGGGCCGCGACGTGCACATCGTGCGCGCGGCCGCCGAGCTAGCGCTGTCGGTGCTGCCGCACGCGCACGCGCTCAACTACAACGAGATCCAGCGCGCCGTGCTGCAGTGCAAGGAGCAGAGCGACGCGATGCTCGAGCGCGCCTGCCTCACGGTCGAGGCCGCGGCCAAAGGTGCGACTGCGACTCGCGACTCGCGACGCGCCCCTGCGCCAGGGGTGGATAATCTTTCCCTGCGTATGGCGGCGCGGCAGTGGCGGCCAACCTTTTCATAAACACAAATGAGGTCGCTGAATATGTTGTGTCAAATATTTCGGGGACGAACAGCTTTCTGCAAATGAGGCGTATTATTTTACGTTGCAATTTTGTTTTTTGAACAATATTTTCTATAGTTCAATATTTTCTATAGTACGGTATTTATGGCACGGGGGATGGAGCTCAGGTTGCTCGAGTAAATTGAATTAAAGGCGAGGGCCCGTATACCGAGCTGTCACGGCACATTAAATAAAAAAAATCCAAAATTGGTGTTAAATCAGAACAGTGTCCTCTGTCTATGATACGTTCCACTGCTGGGCAAAGGTCTCCTCTGTTTAGAGAGTAGTAGGGCGTAGTTCGAGGTACAGTCGCGCTCGTGAATGTGGTAATTGTGTACGCAGGCGGCGGAGTGTACCCGGAGGTGCTGTACACGGTGGCGCGCTACTGGCACGAGCTGTACCTGCGGCAGGGCACGGACGAGGAGTTGGCCGAGGAGCCGCAGCAGCGCGCGCCGCAGCCGCCGCCGCTGCCCGTGCCCTACGCGCTGCCCTACGCCTTCCCCTACCACCCCTACCCGCCGCACATCTACCAGCTGCAGGTGACGGCGCCCTTCTGACTGATGACGTGCAAGCGTTGCACTCACATGTTGATTGGATACTTTTCACTACTTTATTAAACATTGGCCACGATATATTGATAAGTTTTTGCAATTTTAGTAAGAGAAAAGTAACTAATGTATACATAATTATGTAGAGATAATATATGTTTAATACTTGATTATCTTAAACTTTCGACTTTCGCCATTTATAAGATGTAATTATGTAAACGACAACTCTCCAGACCCAAATATCCAGGCCAACAACGGGCAGCAGCGTTGAAGGTGCGAGGTTTCTGGAAGAACTGCGGTTGCCAACCCGCTCGCCAAGCGTGGCAACTATGGCAAAAACCCCTCATGAATGGAAGTCCAAGGTGTACGGCCCCCAGTCCCCGGCGGCCCTGCTATTCCTGGCTACGGTAGCGGTCATGGTAACGGCAGGGCAGGGGGTGCTAAGAATCCCCGGCTAGGATTCGGCTACCAACGACGGCGACTGGACCTGGCAACATACAACGCAAGAACATTGAGGACTGACGAGAAGATTACAGAGCTGGAAGAAGAGGTGAACAGGCTGCGCTGGGATATAATAGGATTATCTGAAGTCCGAAGACAGGGGGAGGACACGATAATCCTCAAATCCGGCAACCTGTTTTACCACCGGGAGGGCGACCAACTGTCCAAAGGAGGTGTCGGATTTATCGTCCACAAGTCTCTCATTAACAACGTTGTTAAAATCGAGGGTGTGTCGTCGAGGGTTGCGTACCTTATACTCAGAATATCCAAACGGTATTCGCTGAAGGTCATACAGGTCTACGCACCAACGTCCACACATCCCGATGATGAGGTGGAGGCAATGTATGAGGATATATCACGAGCCATACATTCCTCCAAAACAAAGTACATGGTGTTAATGGGAGATTTCAACGCAAAGCTAGGCAAAAGGAAAGACGATGAGCTGAGAGTAGGTAGTTTTGGAATAGGGCAACGGAACCCAAGGGGGCAGCAGCTGGCTGACTTTATGGAGAAAGAGGGACTCTTTATGATGAACTCTTTCTTCAAAAAGCAGCCCCACAGAAAGTGGACCTGGATTAGCCCCGATGGTTCTGTAAAAAACGAGATAGACTTCATTATGACGAACAAACGGCAAATATTCAATGATGTCTCTGTGATCACAAGGGTGAAGACCGGAAGTGATCACCGATTAGTGAGAGGCACATTGAATATTAACATTAGGCTGGAAAGATCTCGTCTGATGAAGTCCACACTCCGACCATCTCGTGCCCATATCCAGAACTCCGAAAGCTTTCAGCTCGAGCTACGTAATCGTTTCCAATGCCTAGAAAATTGCAGCACGGTGGACGATATTAACGCAAAGCTCGTGGAAACTGTCCATGCCGCGGGTCTTAAATTTTATAAGGCCCGCCGCAAAAATAGAACACAAAAACTCTCTGATCACACTCTCAACCTCTTGGGAAAAAGACGAGAGATGCGGTTGCAGTCTTTAACTGACATATCGGACTACAGGCGGCTTAATAGGCAGATCTCCAAATACATGCGGCCAGACTTACGCAACTTCAATACAGGTCGTATTGAGGGAGCTATAGAGCGGAACCTAGGCTCAAAAGTCTTCGCCAGAGATCTGTCTATCGGACAAAGCCAACTGACTAAGTTGAAGACTGACAGCGGCGTTATCATCTCCAGTAGACCAGAGGTTTTGAGTGAGATAGAGAGGTTCTATGGACAGCTGTACACATCGTCGTTGGAGCCACACACATGTGTGAGTGAGTAACGACCCAAGAGCAAAGCTTATCCGACACTATTCCGATAATATCCCGGACGTCAGTCTGAGCGAGATTAAAATGGCTCTTGACCATCTTAAGAATGGCAAAGCATCAGGAGAGGACGGAATTACAGCAGAGCTTCTGAAAGCGGGTGGAGAACCGGTACTTGTAGTCCTTCAGAGGCTCTTTAATTTCGTCCTTCAGGGTGGTGCTACACCAGAGGCGTGGAGCAGAAGTGTGGTGGTGCTGTTCTTCAAGAAAGGCGATAACGCTCTCTTGAAGAACTATAGACCGATATCCCTTCTGAGCCGCGTCTATGTGCTGTTCTCAAGAGTCATCTTGAATCGTCTCGCTTCCAGACTCGACGACTTCCAGCCTCCCGAACAAGCCGGATTCCGAAAAGGCTTCAGTACCATAGACCACATACACACCTTGCGGCAGGTTATACAGAAGACCGAAGAGTATAATCTGCCTTCGTGCCTAGCGTATGTGGACTATGAGAAAGCCTTCGATTCTGTCGAAATTTGGGCGGTACTCCAAGCTCTTCAGCGGTGCCAAATTGACTGTCGGTATATCGAGGTGCTGAGGTGTTTGTATAACAAGGCTACGATGTCCGTCCAAGTACAGTCCAGTAGTACAAAACCTATCCAACTGCAGAAGGGTGTAAGACAGGGTGATGTCATATCCCCGAAACTCTTCACCGCTGCGTTGGAAGATGTTTTCAAGCTTCTGGACTGGAAAGGACGAGGTATTAACATCAATGGCGAATACATCACCCACCTCCGATTTGCCGACGATATAGTCATCATGGCAGAATCGCTGGAGGACCTTGGTACTATGCTCAATGACCTCAACAGTGTCTCCCAACGGGTGGGCCTTAAGATGAACATGGACAAGACGAAGATCATGTCTAATGTCCATGCCACGCCAATACCGGTTGTTGTTGGGAGCACTGAGCTCGAAGTTGTTTACGAGTACATTTACCTAGGACAGTTAGTCCGGCTAGGTAAGTCCAACTTCGACGCAGAGGTCAATCGACGAATCCAACTCGGATGGGCAGCGTTCGGGAAACTGCGGCAAATCTTCTCCTCAAATATACTTCAATGTTTGAATACTAAAGTCTTCAATCAATGTGTGTTGCCAGTGATGACCTACGGAACCGAGACGTGGTCCTTCACTGCTGGCCGTATGAGGAAGCTCAAAGTCGCTCAGCGAGCTATGGAGCGGGCTATGCTCGGTATTTCTCTGCGTGATAGAGTTCGTGACGAAGACATCCGCAGTAGAACTAAGGTGACCGACATAGCTCAAAGGATTAGCAAGCTGAAGTGGCGGTAGGCCAGCCATATAGCTCGTAGAACCGATAACCGTTGGGGAAGAAAGGTTCTCGAGTGGCAGCCTCGTACTGGCCATCGCAGTGTGGGACGACCCCCCACTAGATGGAGTGACGACCTGTGCAAATGTGCGGGAAGTCGATGGATGCAGGTGGTTTAGGATCGTACTTCGTGGCAGTCTATGGGGGAGGCCTATGTTCAGCAGTGGACTCAAACAGGCTGAAATGATGATGATGATGATGAATTATGTAAAGCCAACGGACCCTGCCATCCTTGTACAAAGTTGTGAGGACTGAAAATAAACCAACCTTTAAAAAAAAAAACAAAAGAAAAAGACTTCATTACCAACTTTAAATACAAAAGTGGTGATAACTAACTAAACTCTTTTGGCTCTGTTGGATATTGCATTTGCTTTCGGTCTCGGACAAGGTAAAGCTACATCGAATGCATTGCCAGTAGGAGGCTAGAGCTCTTACGGATATGTTATGACGGATCGTTAAGAAATCGCCGACCGTGTCATTCGCACTTTGGGAGCGGTGAAAGTGTACCCGGAACGCGGGCGTACGTTGCGTTGCTCTCGAGGATACTCACCGTCGCCGTTCCGCAGTACGGCGGCGCGGCCGGCGGCCACCCGGCGCCCCCCTACGCGCTGCCGCAGTACTTCGTGCGGGGGCTGGTGGCGCCGCAGCCGGGGCACGCGGCCCACGCTGCGCTGCCGCAGCACCTGCAGCACCCGCAGCAGCAGCCGCAGCCGCAGCACGGCCACGCTGCGCTGCCCGCCCTGCCGCCGATCCCGCCGATCCCGCCGGTGCCGGCCTTCCAGGCGCACGCGGTGCTCCAACCGGCCCCGCCGCACCCCCCACATCAGGCGCATCAACCGCTCCCGGCGCCCGTACCGGCCAACGTATGCCTCGCATTCCTTCCTATACACACGTAGCTAACGTGTTGGTGTTGACTCCCACACTAACGCGCCAAAGTGAAAATTGGACATGACAGAATATGTATGAAAGCAAAGAATGTTTAGAATAATGATATATAAATGAATCACGATGAGTCGTAAATTACTTTGATGTTTTTACTTCTAGTCTGCACACTATTAAAGATTATACAAGATTCATAAATCCCTTTGCGTTGGGTAGGGCCGCGCATGTATGTACATGTGTGCGTTATCTATGAGAAGGAATTGGCCCCGATTATGGACCATCAAGTTCGGGACGGACTACGACGCCGATGGCCGGTGGCTGTATTAATCGGAGTCCTAGAGGTGGTGCGAACCTTGTGTACGTTGTATATTGTATCGACTTGGCCGTGCTGGTGGGCGAGGTCGAACGAATTATTACTTAATAAAGTCGAGCGAATACATGCTCTAACACTTTAGTGTTATCTAGCGGAACTCCGGGTGTTTTATTCGAATAGAAGAGGAGAACGCGGTGTAGTTGGTGAAACGCGTGAGTGCATCGATATAATTATGTGTCCTTAGGATGTCGCTCGTGTAGTGCGAAATCAGCCAGACGGTGGCAAGAGCCTTGGGGAACGCCCACTATTAGGGGACGGCTCTACTCAGTATCAAAAAGAAATACATAATTAAATGTTGTAAAAGTGAGGGATAAAGTTACAAGGCGCTCAAAGTGGCCGTATGTTGACTAGATTGGCGCTTAAATTTTGTGTGTTTATTTGTGGAAGACGCAAGAGAGATCTGTAAAAATAGTGGAAGCGAAAATTCTATATCTATTATTATCTATTTATTTTATATTCTAAATCTATCTGTACCTTTTATATTTATTAAGTACTTATTTTGGATACTCATTAAGGGACTAGTAGATTTAATTCATTATTCTTCTCTCGTAGCATCCGGCCCCGATTGCACCACCGGCAGCAGCGGCTGGTGTGGGTAACATTGGGCCAGTCGGTGCAATGAACAACCTAGGCGGAGTGGGAAACGTGGGAAACGCGGGTAACGCGGGAAATGCTGGCAACGGGGGAAACGGCGGAAACGCGGGAAACGCTGGAAACGTGGGCAACCTGGGCGGCGTCCCTCAGCCGGCGCCCGGTCCTAACACCCTACAGCAGGCCCAAATGCGGCTTCTGCTCGCCGCGTACAGGGTCGGAATGCTTGCGCTAGAGACCCAAGCGAGGAGAGTGCATGACGATCGCCCGCAGAATAAGTTTGGAAGGTATGCCACATTCTGTTGCATTTAAAAGTAGTAGGAAACCTATTCTTTAATGTTTTTAAGGCCGTCGTGTTTCTCGCTCGAGCCGGGCCATTCATGTAACAGCGGAATCAGCCGCTTGACTCTAAACAATGATCATGCTTCGTGCCGCAACATCAATGGAGACCTTTCTGCCTCTAGGAACCCGCCGTACGGCGAGCACGTCAAGTGGCTGCTGCGCATATCCAAGCGTCTGGGCGCCGAGTACCTGCACCAGTTCTGCGTGTGCGCCGTGAACTCGGTGGTGTCGCCCTTCGTGCTATACGAGCTGTGCACCGAGTCGGCGCAATGGCTGGCGCGCAACAGCCCCAACCACGTGATCATGCACCACCTGCGAGGCGCGCTGGCGCCGCTCGTCCAGAAGTGCCAGCAGATGTGAGTGCTCTCTTTACTCCACCGTCCAACATCTATGCGATCCTGGTACAATAATAATAATAAAATAATAATAAAATATCTTTATTCACATAGACGCTTGCGCGTTCTTATAAAACGTCAAAATTTTACAAGAAATGAACACGTTCGTAAGTTACCACCGGTTCGGAAAGCAGTTTCTGTTGAGAAGAAACCGGCAAGAAACTCAACAGTTGCTCTTTTTAAAAAAAAATCAGTTTACAATATAATAGTACATGTACAATAGTCTTGTTTTAGCCTACGTGAGTATCAACAGTATTAACCCCACACATTGGCGTCGCCAAGATATTCAGCAATAGAATAATAGGCTTTAGCCATAAGTTTACTTTTAATTTTTCGTTTAAATTCATCAAGTGGCAGACTTAATATCGACTGTGGGATTTTATTATACATGCGCACACCTTGCCCCATGAACGACCTGTTTACTTTTTGTAAACGAAACAATGGCGTAGTTAGTTTGTCCTTATTTCTAGTATTTAGTTTATGTCTGTCACTATTCTTTAGATAACTATTAATATTATTTTTAACATACAAAATATTACAATAAATATATTGAGACGCAACAGTGAGTATATTAATCTCTTTAAAAGGTCTCTGAGTGTATTCCGGGCTCCGGATGTTATAGATTGCTCGGACAGCTCTTTTTTGAAGAATAAATATAGAATTTATATCAGATGCACTACCCCACAACAAAATGCCGTAAGACAAGATGCTGTGGAAATAACTGAAATAAACAAGTCTGGCAGTGTCGATGTCTGATAGCTGCCTAACCTTCCTAACTGAAAAAACAGCGGAGCTTAACCTGTTCGCAAGAGATGATAGATGGGGACTCCATTGGAGCTTTGAATCCACTGTAATTCCCAAAAATACAGCGGACTCAACAGGATTAAGGGTTACGCTATTTAATGTTAAGCTAAAACTTCGCCTTCTTACGCTGGGAAGGGTAAAAAGAAGGCATTAAGTTTTTTTAAACCAGTGGAGGATACGCGAAAGTGCACTATTCACGTCGTCATAATCCGACACGTTTCGGTCAACCTTAAAAATGAGCGATGTGTCGTCAGCAAACAGTACAATATCACATAACTCACTGGCATAAAAGGGGAGATCATTTATATACACTAAGAATAGTAATGGACCCAAGATTGATCCTTGTGGGACACCCATTTTCATGGGGGACCCTGTGGAATTTACATCATTTATAGATACCTTCTAAACGTCACTCCAACTGGATATGAAACATCGAAGCATCATGCTCGGGGGCCCACATCACCCCACCAGCTATGCGATCCTGGTACAAAAGACTTCGATGGGGTAAAGACCGTCTATGCGGCCCTGATACTAAGCGATTTCTTAAATGTCACATCAAGAAATGGAGTCATTACGGCAATTCAGAGCTCTGGTACACACATTACCCCACCATCCAATCTAATCTACAAAGAACATCAATTGAAAATACACATGTGTGCACACACTGCTTAATCATTTATGCGATCCTGGTACAAAAGACATGTCACGACACCTAGCAATGAAAGAAACACACTACCTAAGAACTAAGAAAACACCTAGAAACTTAAAAGCACATCAGGGCTAAAATGCACATATTACCCCACCATTCCTTTAATCCTGGTACTAAAGACTAATTTAAACACCTCGTAATGAAAAATCTTCAAAGCACATCAGCTTTCAAGTGTACCTTTTACCCTATCACTCAAGCAATTTTGATACAAAAGAATTTCTTAATTACACAACACGCGACCATACATACAGCGCTTGCAAAGTAAATATGCTTGTTCAGGTGTGCCAATAGCTGTGAGTGCACATGTATAAACACCACACATATTATACTGTTATCGAAAGTCATCTTGTTATGCATTAATTGCGATGTTATAATAATGTTAGTGTTACCGTTCGTATAAACCGCGTGTATACGCATTACGTCGCTTTGTGTGTGGAAACAGTCTACTCTCTGTCCAGGTACATCCAGTGCATCCACCAGAAGTTGTACCATTTGACTACGGTGGAATATGAAGAGTTTGTGGGTATCGTGCTCTCGGCGCGCACCGCCTTCCACTTGACACCTGAAGGCCACACGCAGTTTAAAGAATGGCTTGCTTCGTTGCGCAGGTATGGTGTTTTCTTTTCTTCATCTTTTTTCAGATTTTTTTAAAAACAATGCCCTTACTTTAGGATAACATTATTGTGTGTTACAAGGGAGTTTTACATACAAAAATTTCACTTGGACAAACAATTATCTGTAGGTCACAAAAATAGTTGTCCCGTGTGGGAATCGAACCAACGACTCTCGGCGCCGAAGCCAATAGCTTGGCAACTGCGCCACGGAGTCATCAAATGTTTTGAATGAACTGAGTTAAGTTGAACAAGTGGAGATCATAGCCTAAAGAAACTAGGCTGCACAAAACATACATGCGCCTAAGGTGCAAAAGCGGGGTATTGTCTGATAGAATTACGAAGTACTTATTATGAAGAAATATGTTTTTTTTTATGGGAGAAAGTGGCAAACGAGCTGGTGTTTCACCTGATGTTAAGTAATACCCGCCGCCCATGAACATTTGCAATACCCGTAGGTTTGCAAAAGTGTTGCCATCTTTAAATAAACTGGGCCCCCCCACTCACCAGACGAAACGTTGAAGTGTAACAACTTCTACTTTACGCCGGTCTTCTGTGAGGTCGTGGTACTTACCCGGACGGACCTGCCTATTCGTGCAACAGTGAATACTGTTGCGTGGTCCTACCACAGTTATATAACCGAAACAGAATAAAATAGTTGTTTACAACAGTATAACATACGTTATCGTCTCCGGCGTGGACGAGAATACATTGCTATACGTGCATCTCGGATAGTGATGAACTGTATACTGCACAAGACTTGAATGATTGCATTTAAGTTTTGCGCACCCTATAAATTTCCACAAATTGAATAATAAAATATTTTTAACACCGTTTTTTTCTATCTAGAGCTGTCTATTGTCAAATACTGAAATATCCCATTCGATGGTAAATGGTAATGTTACCTCAGCAATGGCTTATTGGCTCGTGCGTCCGAAGTATAACGAACGGCTGTTAGTTACATAGCTTCGTGACTTTCGTAACGAATTGTAGATTAAAGGAACGCTAGTAACTCACTTTTCGTAGGGAATGCAACGGCACGTAAGGAAAACGGCTTGGCTCGTTTTGTTTATATAGGAACCGGGCGTACAAGCCTTTTATGTACAAGTCGTTATGAAAGTTACGAAGCTATGTAACTAACGGCCTATCGTTGAATATAGAAACCGGGCATTAGTCAGTCGAGGGCATTAGCAATTGATGCCGCGAGGCGTTTCCAGGTCGAAGTCGTGCAAGAAGGACCTGTGGACCCAGCTGAACGCCGCGCTGCAGACCAACCGATAATCGCGGCTCACAACCCGCCATCTGCACGCGACCTCCAAGCCACACTTCCAAGCGCGCGGCCCATAAACCGCGAAACGCGCTGTGCTCTTTGTAACCCGCCACCGTGAAGTTCCACCGAACTCACCGCCTCTGCTTCCATTTTACACCGCGCCCCCAAAGCCCCTTTCGCATGGGAGGCTTTCGCGCCGAGACTATCGTGAGAATATGAAAATGCAAGTACCGCCTGAAAATTATCGCCTACCATCGCCTGCGTATTCTCGCCGTAGAGCGCCCACCTTCTCACCTTCACTTCTCGGCGCGAAAGGGCCTCCCCAACATCTCGTACAATTACTGCGACTCTATTCTTGAACATGGCATTTGTGAAATGTTGGTAACCCCTGGGGCGATACGACAATGCACCTGTGAAATGTTTTTAACTCCTGGGATGAACTGAACCGGAACACTACAAATTTGCGGATGTCAATTATGTATATCTATGCTGTAAGTAAAATCAACCATACCAACGCTAAAACACCATTCAGTGTTGCATGGAAAGAGGAGCTAGTTTCAACTATGTTACAAGGTGATTACACTATGTTTTTCAAAATTTATGTTTACCAACATTTTTATGAATAGTCCATCTAAGGATTGCGAATAAATTAAGCAAGACTAAAGTCACAAAGAGCACAGTGCGCTGATAAAACGCGGGTATAATGGAAATACCTCTTATAGTAATAGTTTCAACACCCTTAATGGGTATCCGATCTCAGTTGTAAACGAACACATAGTTACAATTAAAATCGCCGATAAATGTTGCCGACTCCTGGAAGTAAATGTTTTCACTTTATCATGTTTCGCATAACAATCGTAACGTCGATTTATAAGTTTCCTTTATCATTTTAATTTGTCAGTAAACAATAGTGGGATCTCAACTTGTAATATTTATTAGAAAATTTGACTTCGAACATTTACATTTTTCATAAAGATATGCGTAATCTGTTAGCATGACTTGTGTCCCAGGATAAAATCTCCAGTATTCTTCCAATGTCATCAATGAGTTCAGCAACATTTTCTTAGCTTACCTACGTAAGTTTGTAACACGTTACTTTCCTTCGTCTATATATTATAATTAATCAAGTGTGTTTTAACGATAGAGTCGGTATTAGCTTTTATTGTATTATTGTAGTATATATCGAACTAGTGTTCGTCTTAATCACATATATTACATAAATATTTATAATTTGCGTTAATATTACATTTAAGTCTTTGGAAAACTCTCAGCGACATCACAATGAGTACCCTATTAGGGTAGTGATAAGAATTATTGGTGTTCAAAATTAAAACCATTTGTTCGTCTAATTATTTGGGATCGATATTACTTTGTTTCTAATTCAGCTTCGATCCTCACCCACATTCGAACTTGTGGGATTTAATAATTCCGTAAAATGCTGAGAAATTAAATTTTTTATCATCCATTTCATTAATAATCGATATAATATGTATAATTATAGTACGGAGGTGTTTCAGACTTGTTTTACGAATCGCTCTATGCACAAATGAAACTTCATTGTCTCAATAAATTTGTTTAGTTCGAAATGATTTTGTATAACAAGTTGTTGAATAACTAGTCAGTCGTTTGCGAAGTTTTTTTTAAAGGCCCAGTGGTGAAGTACTCTAAATCGATTTTAGGTTTTTTTTTTCTTTAATTAAGATTTTGTTTTGATATCCGTTAGCAAAGAATTTTAATTTTGTCTGCTTCTTGATATTGAATGAAAGACACTGGAAATGCTACTCAAAACTGGGGTAGATATTACGTCAGAGAGTTCTCATTATATTTTAAATGACGATTAGATTTTGTTGTTGAAAGTCTAGGACCGGTCCGTGCAAGCCCCAGTTTTGGCGAGCATTTTGATTAATTGATATTTTTAGTTAATTTTAGTTGCCAAGTAGACAACATATTCTGAGAGCTTAGCTATAATTTCTACAACCTCAATGTCTCGAACTATCGTTGTCTAAGCGGCCAGACTCATTACTTTATTGAAGAAGTCCGTTAGCGAATTATTTTTTAAAGATCTCTGTCGTGTATTTAAGTAAGACTTTAGAATCCTTGTATTGATTTCTGTTCTCCGTTTATTTCAATCTATATGTATACTTTACTATCGTTTTTTAATCATAACATCAATTTGGCGTTTGTCATAACTGATGAAAGACTTGTGAGGATTTCGGTGTGCTTGGGAAAAGGATTTTTTTGGACTCGCGGAACTGTAACAGCGAAATGGTGTCCGCATCCGTTGTCAAGACGCGTGAGTAACACCCAAGAGGGAGAGAGATGGATAGATAGAAAGAGTGTGTGTGAGAGAGAGAGAGAAAAAGTTGGAATGAAAATTCAAAATTTGCTAACAAATAGTCCATTATATAAATAATGACGATTGGCGCAAAATGTCCGAAGCGACTTTAGACTACATACAGATATATAAGAGATTTGTAGATGATGAACGTCGAAACACTATTTTTGATATTCTCTTGTCGAAATTTGCCGCATCACGAATGTCCACGTGCTATTTGTCGCCGATGCGAACGTAGGCGTGGGTTCGAGCTAACTATAGTCACTTTATTTACACGTTTACATTACTATCCTTATTGTATTATTATTCTTATTATACTGTAATGCAAAGTAACACCCGGAAACCATCCGGGGGTATAATGTTTACGAGATAACAGATAGGGAGGACGGGACCGGCAACAAAGCGAGCGGACTCCACTGCCAGATTGGAAAACAGATTCAGATTGAACGGAAGTTTCTAGATCTCCCCGAGAAAGCTGGAACGTTGCACACGATTCAAGTCCGACATTTTAATGAAAAATTTAATGAAACTATAATAATTTGTTATATGAATATAACATATAGTGTTCTTCGAGCTAACATTAAATATTGATGACCACGGTAGGGCCACGCATTAGCTACGAATGGGATGCCTTCTTTTAACTAAAAAAAATCATTACAAAAAAAAAAACCTAATGCCTATAATAAAATAAGCAAGGCCCATAATAAAATATTTTTGATTGTTGCTATAAATATCCAGCATATAACCTAACGTCGACGTTCGACGTTATGGAAAGAGTAAAAGTGTCGATTTCTGAGAAGATTCGTAGAGCAGTTTAATTAACATGTCACAGCAACATTGTATATTGGGACCTTCGCCCTTCCACGAGTCGCGCGCCCGTAGCTTTATCTGCGGTACATAATTATCGAACAATTGGAGTGTACACGTAACGATGCGCCAATGGGGAATGACGGAGGATTGCGATTATTGCGACGCAATTAAACGGGAAACGCGGGCCGTGCTCAGGGGCGTGTGTAATTTGCAACTGATCACAAAGTATCGCAATTGCCCGTGTTTAAATTACAGACGGCACCGATTTTCCGCTCGGATGCTATATTCCGATCAATCCCACCGAGCTCGCAATGCCCTTTGAACGAATCGCGTTTGTCGCGTCAATGCATATAATGCCATTACTTAACCAAATAAGCCGCGTTAAAGACTCATTTGGTGATGTTTGACATGGTTTTTCTGAATATACCCTCAGTACAGAAGCTTTTGATATAGGGGATTTTACTTATGGTCTAAATTTACTGCGGCTTTCGACACCCTACGCTCAGTCATCAAACGGATTGAGCCTCCTTGAGCATAATTATGTGGCCATTTAAAGTTAAAAAAAATAGCTAACAACAAAAAAATGCATAAAATGATAATATATTAAAAGAAAAGTTGTTTATAATTCAGTCTCCTTTATGGACCGTAGTATACGTTTAAAAGTAACTTTAATCAACTGTTAATTGAACTTTAAACATCGTAATCAATATTCATGTCTGGATAATGCGGTGCTACTCATAATTATGCCGTTTTATCATCTAGGGACGGCCCTCTTTTTGTATTATGTTGGATTAAAACGAGTGTGAGATACGTGAACGCTTCCATCGATATGTTATAATCTGACATCGGATCAAGCGATTTGTTGCCGGCCCCGTCGTCAAGTAGTTTTTAGTTTAATACCTTTATTAAGTAGATGTTTACGTGCATTCATTCGAGCGTGGATGTCATCAGCATTCGATAGTTAGTTAATTTTTAGGATGCTAGTTAGTGTAAAGTGATCTTGAAACTGTCGTACTAAAATGAAAAAAAAAAAAAAAAAAAAAACTGATGTTTCTTCTTTAGACGTTCCATTTAGACATTACGTGCGCTCGCTGAATTCCCCGTAGAACCGTTCACGACTGCTAACCTCTGAAGCGGCAACATGAAACTTTATAGCAACTGTCCTAGCTTTTACCAACTCGTTAATAATGCACTTTGAGTTATGTTTAACGATTTGCTTACACCGAATTGAACTTAAGAAATGCACGGTTTCTGAGAGGCTCGTCGAATTCTTATTCAACTAAAAAATAACCTGTAAATTTAAGAGCTCCCTCAAATCCATTCCGATCTTTGAGAAACATTGATTAACTATTATCTGCTGATCTACGATTAATTTGATTTGACATTTAAACTTCGAGAGTTAATTCTTCCCCCAAGAACCAGTAACTTGAGCTTCTTACATCAAAGGTCATTGCCTAATTAGCGTTCCGGTAATCCATAGAGGCGTTTGAAATGTGAATTGTAGCAAATTCTGACAGACTTAACAGATATCATATAGAAATCCAAATTAATATTGCTTTCCATCAAACTCGAGTAACGTTTAACAATATTTGATAGTTACTAATATTACTAGGAACGGCCTTTTAGAAACCGGACGTTAGTCTATGGCGAATTGCGCTATATTTTAAGTTGAACGGTACACATAGGGTTTATTTTATGCTTTCTTGCAGTTTTTTTTCTTTTACTTAAATTATGATTAAACACGGGCAGAGCTCGCGTCAACTATATTTTTATAAGTCTTGCCGTCCATTATTATTTGCGTATTTGTATCTTTAGTTGCGGAAACTACTAGTTAGAGGTCTAGTTAATTACTTGTCGGATGTTCATATTTACATTAGATTACTAAATAATTTTTCGCATATTGTTCTCGTTGGGCATTATTAACAATTTCTGGTATCTATAGTTTCTTTGGAGGACTCTTCACTACCTAGAGCATTGAAGAGTGCTTTGACGTTTTGTCTGAAAGAACTATTTTTACACTTAACAACATATTTAATGAAAAAAAAAAATATATCGTTAGTTTGTCTAAATTTAAGGAGTTGAGTGGAGTGTATTTTAATTAGTCGTTTAATACATGTCATTGTTGTAATTCGTTCAGTTGCAGGCAAGGTTGCGAAGCGTTTCAAGCGTTGAAAGTAAATTTTATCGTTTGCTTAATATACTCGTTATATGAAAGTTT